AGAGAGAGAGAGAGAGAGAGAGAGAGAGAGGAGGCTTCACCAAATCCCCCTCCCAAGAACAACGGTTAGAGAGACTGGGGACGGACGGCATTCGGCTAGAATTCTCCACACTAACAGGATGAAGCTGGATTCAGAAGAGAGTGGGCGGATGAACCGGGCTGCTAAATGAGATACCGATTACCTCTAATGGAGCAGAAGGCCGTAAGTTACTATGTCTACGGCTAAATCTAACTTACCATAAACGTGGATGATGGTCCATCTCTCCTTCCCTCGCTCCCTCTCTATCTGATATACACATACATTATATCTCCACAACGATGCTGTAAATTGGCATAAAGCATGTAATTCTGTTACTAAAACATGTATTTTTGAAGTACCTGTATGATGATCCAGGTTTTTCTCGGATTTCGTAACGGTTCGGAGAATATTGTGAATGTAGCTTTTTGTTTAATAAGCAAGATGCATGCTTCTTCCCACCGAACTACGTAGAGAAAATAATGTTTTATCATATCGAAGTGACGATGTGAGAATATTTTATTAATGAAAAATTAAAGCGTAATTTATTGTCACAAACTATGGGACTTGATCGGAAGAACGTAAAATATTGGTCATGATAAGTGGTGGCCTCTTATCTGGGGACCTAAATGAGATATTGTTTCAAGCGATGTGATGGAGTAGATACCATGTAGCCTCCCAGTCGGCCACCCTTTAGCGAGAATCTTTTATCAAATTTTAGCTGATAATCTTGTGCAATAAATGAAATAATAAGGAGGGTTTGACTTTCACAATTCTTTTTTCTCGAATAAATTAAGGTCAGAAAACCATCTTTTGTTTGGGAAATGAGTAATCGAAGGGAAAATATGACCTATTTTTCGCATATTATTCCTCAAGAAATAGAGCAAAGTTGAAGTCAATTATTCTTCATAGTGTCGTCAATATTCCACCACCACGAAGTAGTAGTCATGCTCCCGAATCATGCATGAAGCCGGCTGATCATCGGCCGGGAAAAATAGCCATCAAAGAGTCGTGGTATAAACGAATCTACACACGTTCAACGTGTACATCTTCCATGAGAGACAGAAGAATCAGCGTAGCGCGCGTTGAATCAGGAAGTTATCTGAAGAGGAGGAGCGTAGGCGAATGTGTCTCCTCAGCCGATTCATGGCTTCGCTCCTGGCACTCGCAGCCATGGAGAGCAAAGGGCAGGGAGATGGTGAGGTCGAGATTCAGGTCAGACGTCGGGCTCAAGTGGTCTTCTCGGCAGCTCGCCTCTCTGGAGACCCCTCCATCGTCCGGAACGCGATCCCTGCCCAGGGGAAAGCTTTTACATGTCTCGCTGGTCAGCGCAGGGTCTTCGGCACGCGGGACTCTGCTGATCCACCGGGGCTTGCTCCGGTCAACGCCCATTCTTATGAGCTTCCTGCTCAGACGAGAGTTCCAGTGGTTCTTGATCTCGTTGTCCGTCCTCCCCGGCAGCCGTCCGGCGATGAGAGACCAACTGAAGAAGCCACCAACCACAGCACAACTGAGAAGCACGCTCATCGCGTAGAGAATGAGAAGAAAGAAAGGCCGTCCACTCACACCGTCGAGACCCCACCGGTCTCCCAGAAACAACCGAGACCCTACCTACAGGATGTGGAGGAGGTAAGCCCTACCGGTTGCCTAGAAGCGCGTGGAGCTTGATGATCAGGTCGTCTTCATCCTCCGTGAAGTTCCCTCTCTTGATGTCGGGCCTGAGGTAGTTGATCCATCTCAACCGGCAGCTCTTTCCACAGCGAAGGAGGCCTACATGGGGAAGTCGAGAGTCGTTTATTACAGACCATTCACCACACACACACACACACGCACACAGATACCCCACACAGAACCTGCAGCCTTAGGAATGGTCCGCCAACGGCCCTCGCCATGGGTGCGGATGTATTTGACAAGCTTCTCGTCCTCCTGACTAGACCACGCTCCTCTGTTGATTGTCTGCTTCTCGCAGGAATTTCGCTTCATGTCTTACGGCGCAGAGATGGGGGGATGGGGAGGGAGGGAGTGAGGAGATGAAAGAGAAGATGGGGAGAGCTGCGTCGTCGGCGGTGTCCAGAGAAAGAGAGGTCTTTGCGGCGGGTAGGACGCGGAAATCGCGTCGTCTGTGGAGTTTCAGTTGGGCATGGTTAGAGGAGCACACAAATTTGACCCGAGACTGGCAGTTCAGGGTCCTGCCCCCATCTCTCTCTCTCTCTCTCTCTTTCACACACACGCACACACACACACACACACACACACACACACACACACACACACACACACACACACACACACACACACACACACACACACACACACAGACATACAGACAAGCGTTTTCTTTCCTCGGAAATATATTCAACTGAAAAGTCAGCGAGGAGTGGAGAAGAGAGAGAGCATATCGTTCAGGCGGAGCTAATTAACCTGCGCATCACATGCTACCTGCTTGACCGATAGCTCCCATATCTCTCTCTCTCTCTCTCTCTCTCTCTCTCTCTCTCTCTCTCTCCCTCTCTCTCTCCCTCCTCTCCCTCTCTCTCTCTCCCCCTCTCTCGCTCTCTCTCCCCCCTCTCTCGTTCTCTCTCTCCTCTCTCTCTCCCTCTCTCCCTCTCTCTCTCTCTCCTCCCCCTCTCTCTCTCTCTCTCCTCTCTCTCCCTCTCTCTCTCTCTCTCTCTCTCTCTCTCTCTCTCTCTCTCTCTCTCTTCTTCGTTTTCTCGTCCTCCATTCGCAAATCAAGATATTCCCGGACAGCTGCTATACTACAACGACAAGATGACCTTTCCCATGATTCAAGTTTAAGCCACGACGGAATGGTAGGGGAGACAGTGGACCTTTCTCGCCGTGCTCATAAACACGGAGCCAGTTTAACTACAACAATTCAGTTGACCATGAGATCCACCTTAATGGACGATGCGAGATAGCGTATTGCGACTTCTAGGAAGAAAGATTGATAGATATTCAATGATCGACGCTGAGCATCTATATATCTAAGATTTTTTGCATGATTCTCGTTGAAAACCCAGATATATGTATATTCTATATATCAATGTCAGATATCATGGGGGTGATTCTCCACGGATCTGTGTCCATTTTCTTCTTGTACGTTGAGAAGGGGAGGGGCCAGATGTTGCTAAAAGGAGGTTATGGTCCGATAACCGGTGATAAAGGAAGGATGAGAAGTCTTATTCCGTAATGAGACCATGATGAAAAGCTTACGCGCAAGAAATTGATCTTGGTCGACCGAGATGATTAACACTTGTAAGGGAGGATGAGGTAGGGGACGTAGAAATGATCGAGGAATAAGAGAGGCACAGCCACAGTCTCCCTCAAATCGTTCGGTGACTATGGAAAAATCAAAACATTGATCGGAGAAACACCATGGAAATTTTTTCTACATCTCATATCGTGTAGCTTTGACGAGTTTCCCACGATAAAACTTTGGTTGAGGCAGTATATGTTTAGAATTACTCTCATTTTGGAATAGTTTTTAGTAAAAAAAAGGTATAATCTCTCCGTATTATATCTGATTACCCAAAAATCAACGACTTTAGTGCTCTCTGATTTATTATTTTTTTAGTAAGGAAATCAGAGAGCAGAGATCAGTCGTCCTATTCATTTCGGGACGGTTTTTTCATAATAACAGGGTATCATGTCATTCAACCAGAAGCTAATAAAAAAATAAGCGTGACTGTAAACATATTTTCGACGTGTCCTTAACATTTAAAGGCGTAAAGAATGAGAGGATGCGGGGAAAAACTAACAAACAAGAGTAGAAAAGCCTCTCCGCAATCTTTCAACGATAACATGAAACAGGTGACAACCGCTCCTGCGATCCAATAGACCCTGAAGAAGTGGTATGCATATCTGCCGACGTAGCTATTAATAGAATAAGATACATGGCGATCACATCTACCTTTCATATTAATCAATGAAGAAGTAGAGATCAGTTAGCCTTCTCCACAGTCGATACTCTGGTTATCGTCCGTTCTACGCTCCAGTTCTAGATGATGCACTGCACCACTACGTTGTCTCAGGTCCTAGATGGTCCACGAGGTGCTGAGGTCGTGATTAGTTCAGTCGATGCCGGACTCTTCGGTTTCAGGCTTCTGGTCTCCTCCAAGCCACTGCCCTGGTCTGCAGGGCGATCCCTAACGGTCGCGAGTGGTTGCCACTACGGGAGATTCGCTTCTTGGGAAGCTGAAGCTGGCGCGGCAACCTTGCCGGCCGCCCGGAGCTTCCCCGGGTTAACGCCCGTTCTAATGAATTTCCTGCTCAGGTGAGAGTCGAGTGCTTCTTGATTTCGTTGTCCATCCGCCTCGGCAGCCACCTGGGGATGACGGACCACATGGAGAAGCCACAAGCCCGTTGCGCTAATGGGAAATCCTCTTCTCGCGCGAAGAAGAACAGGGCAGCTGTACCTCCACTGGAGATCCATCCCCAGTTACATAAGAATAGGGAAGCTGCACACTCACACAGCAGCCTTGGGGATGAACCTCCAGTGGGCCTCGTCGTGGGTGCAGATTGTGCCGATGAACTTCTGGTTCTCCTGCTTGGACCAGGCTCTTCCGTTGGTGGCTTCCTTCTCAATGCAAGGATTCCTCATCTCCGAGAGCTGTAATGGGAAAGAGGGAGAAGTGGAGTCGGTGATGAGGGAAGAGAGAGGAGTTGGTATGGGAGTGGGTGGGGCATGGGAGCTTCCTCTGTGGTGGATTCGAGTAGAGTTTGACTTCAGACTGGTGGATAAGGGGGGTGGATGCGAATAGAACCAGAAGTCGGTGCGCCGCCCGTTAGTTGCTCGTCTTGTCGTCACACTCTCGGGCAGAAGTCTCTCTCTCTGTGTCTCTCTCCACCTATCTATCTCTCTCTACCTCCCAGTTCTATCCACCCTTATCCAGTGAAAAAGTGCACATCCACCAGCCGCCTGTGTCTTGCGGAAGCTGCCAATAATAGTCAGGAAGCTTTGACATCCAATGGCGCCACGCTGGATTTTAGATACCATTCCGGACAACAAGGATCCAGGCTGTCATATGCCTACGTTTATATCCATTGTAAGATCTTTATATATTAAAATATGATAATTACTTAAATGGTAAAATAATTACAAGTTCCATTCCTCGATACCTTTTAAATGTAAATACTGCAACTAAGTCAATCCCCCGTTGTTTTTTGTTCACGGCAGTGAATTTTTCGTAATGCTTTCCATTAGTATTGTTCGATAGTGGTATTAGACTCCTGGCCCATTATGGCCCATTATCTCTCTCTCTCTTCTAATCTTTCTTTCTTCTTCTTTTCTATATAATTTCATGTACTTCTCTTTTTCCTTAGAGAAGGATTATAGATTTTAGGGTTTGCCTCTCCTGTGTCAATAAATATCTTGTTGACTGCTTAATTTATTTCTCCCTTCATGCCCTTGAATGATACCCTAAAATTACAAATAAAATTAGGACGAAAATGATGAAAAATACCAAAAAATTGTAAAAAGTGGCTTATTTTTTTAAAAAAACAAAATAGGTCCTTTTTTGCTTAAATTTTATGTGAATCGTTTTATGCCTTTTATAATATGCAGAGAATTGCCTAACAAGTAATGTGATACTTTCTTATGCCAAATTCTATTCATAACAAGGTATAGCGTCCCTTATGTTACATGGCTGATTGCTCCTCTCTACATAAACAAGATGATCCCATGCATTTCTTAGAGATGAGAGGATGACGAAAGGCTTATTTTCGTTTTATTTTTCAGGTATTTTTAGTCTCAATTTGTTTATATTCACAACTTTAGTGTGACTAGTTGAACCTTCTATGTAATATGGGAATACAATAAAAAAAAGGGCATAGGTGATTCCAAATATTAAAAAATGTTTACACTACATTATATGGGTTTGAATCTTGCACAATTACTTTGACATTCTATAAAATTTGATAATCAAAACTAATAGATGAGTTTACCATTATTATTGTACATAGTTTCAAGGCCTAATTGAAAGTTTCATGATATTTTTGCATGATAATAATCAAGGTTTGGGTTCCTATAATAAAGTCTTTAGATGTAAGGCCACATTTAGATCAACAAGGGGGGATTGGATTGATCAGATCTAATTGATCTAATCTTCTCTTCGTCTAATTCTTTTCAAAATCTCTGGTGACATTGAGTTCAATAAATTAATAATTATGTTCGATAGACATGAACATAATATGTGAATATTAATTGAAATAAAGTAATGATTTTGAGAAGAAATAACATCTAAATCATCACTAAAAAGGATAGCACAAAATATTAATTTTAAGTTTCATATTAGCAATTTAAACCACACATTTGTGATTTGTTAGGACTAATAATCATTACTACAAATTCAAGTGTAAAGTATAATGTAATGCAAAAGTAAGAAATAATTTTAAGTACAGATTCAACGTGTCTTCATTCTCAAATTTTCAGCTTGTGATATTATATTTGTATCTTTATCAAAACACTGTAAACTTTATGCATTACCATTTTTCCTACTCAAAAACATTATTTCCAATCTAAAGGTATAATTTGCAAGTTTGATTGAAAATGTACCCACTAGATTGAAGATTGATTTTTAGTATTTTTAGACCTTTTTGTTAATCTCAATTCATGACTGGTAAATATCATCTTAGTAAACATGCTAAATGTGAAGAATACGTTTTCAAAAATCTCATAGTCATTAATTTACATTTGAGTGTCCAAGTATATTATAATATTATGTTTAATTAAATGTAGTTATGATTTTATCACTTGAGTATAGATATGTAGATTTGTTGTCATCAAAATATTTTAGGGAAAGAAAAGGCTCATGAAGTCAACAAAAGTCCCAACCTTAAATAAAGCTAACATCAGCATCATACCTCTAATACTTAGCCATGTAGACCCATCAATCCAGAGGTGAGTTATGGAGTAATTTCGGCTCCTAAAGTTCTGAATCTATTGGAACCAAACTGAAGCCTAATATTCAACCAATTTACTACTCCTAAGATTATAAGGCATTGAGAATGTAGATTAGAAGAGTTGAACCACCATTGACTCTTTTCCATCTTAACATGAGAGAAAAAAAGAGTACCAATTCATCCCCCATCTTGATTCCTTCATGGCTTCATAAGACAGAAGAAGAGGATTGAGCTTGAAATGAGGCAAGATTATGTATCAAACCCCCCCCCTTGAACACCATATTTTTCTCATGTTGAGATCAACATAAATTCTAATATTTTCTCCTTGCTCATGATCTCCATTTCCTTCCAACTCGTGGCATCGTGTCCTTGCACATATTGCAATTTGGGGGCTGCATTTACTAAGTGCATATCATATGATCCCAAATAGATAAAAAAATCCACCTACATCTGGGAAATTGTTCTTGGAAGTGCCCTAGTGTGAGCTATTTTGGCCCAAAAGTGGGTGACCAAGTGGACCATTTCGGTCCTTAACCAGTTCTAATCACCCCTCAATCCCCTCATCTTCTCATGGGTGATGTAGAACATGGGTTCCTATTTTTTTGGCGGTGAGTGGAGCCAGCCAACGTATGGAATCAATTTTTTTTTTTTTTTTTTTCTATGGGTGAACATGGGACCGCCAACTAGTATTAATGCCACGTGGACAAATAAGGGCAGGCCTAACCTTGTGCTATGGTGTACTTAAAATTATAGAGCAGGCCTAAACTTGTAAAATGGATATTTTCTGTCTACCCGATTGAGACTTGTCAAATAATGGGCCGGGCACTTTGCTGACCGGGTCCATCTCTCCCTGTCCGGACCCATCAACAGCCAAGGCCCATCTGAGGTCACATGGAGGTGGACCGGGCACTACCCACTTGCTTGTCGGTCCAATATCTCTCTATCCGGACCCCGGTCAGCAGCCAAGGCCCGTCTGTCACATGGAGGAGGACCGGGAACTACCCATTCGCTGGCCGGGTCCATCTTTCTCTATCCGGACCCATCAACAGCCAAGGCCCATCTGAGGTCACATGGAGGAGGACCGGGAACTACCCATTCGCTGGCCGGGTCCATCTCTCTGTATCCGGACCCATCAGCAGCCAAGGCCCATCTGAGGTCACATGGAGGTGGACCGGGCACTACCCACTTGCTTGTCGGTCCAATATCTCTCTATCCGGACCCGGTCAACAGCCAAGGCCCGTCTGAGGTCACACGACGGTCTTCCTCAGTCGGCCGGCGAAGACGATAGCCACCGAGGGGAGAGTCAACGGGACGGAAAGATCGAGCCCCGATGTGCGGTGACTATTAAAGCGGGCCGTAGGTTTTGGTAAGTGGGGTGGGTGGAAGTCGGCGCAACCCATTGGTTTAGGTGGTGCGCCGCCCATCCCGTTGCCGGAGGGGGGGCGGCGGGGCGGGCTGTGGCGGACGCCATCCGATTACCATGTTTTAGGCCGTCTCTGACGCCCCCCGACTATTATGTTTTCTATTTTAGTGCGTATTTTAATCCGAAATTATAAGGGCATGAATCGGACGGGAAGCGGGCCCCACAGAAGGTCGATATTTCCCGCCGCCATGTCGACATCCGGAGGGGCCGACGCTTACATCCACGTCATCATCGTGGATGGTGGGGCATCATCGGAGGGTGCGTCACCATCTTCGGGCGGCCGGCTGCTATTCAGACGGCTAGGAAAAACAAGAGAAACAGATGTTCAGAAAAATGGTCAAGATCGTGGAAGAGGAGTCTGATTTCTTTCTATTTGTTCTTACCCACGCCACCCTCGATCAGCACGCCATTTCGCCAGCCGCTCCCCCGGATTTTGAAATTTACAAAGGTTCCTTCCACGATATTCACAATTTCCTGAAAGAGCGGTAGAAAACGTGGAAGGACCGGGAAGAGTGGTGGGGGGAAGATCGGCGCGCCGATCGAGCGGTAGGGGGGATAGTTCTCCCATTAGACGGCCGGCGTAGTCCCAGGCTGCCAAGAAAACTCCGAGAGGTCGGACGGCATGAAGGATCCCACATCGGGGTAATCGAACAGTCCTCCGTCGAAGACCACCACCTCGTTGGCCCCTGCAGGCCAGAAGCTATTCTCGAATGCTTCGAGGTCCAATGCGTCGTAAGAGTTTGGGATCTCGTCGGTGAACCCCCAGATCTGCCCCGGCGCCGCGCTCTCCTGGTTAGCGTCCTCCCTAGGATCTTCCTCGGCGCTGTCTCCGTCGTCCGATAGAGACGGTCCGGCCGGTGGGAGGCCCAGCTCGTCGTCGGAGGCCTCCAGGAGGTATCCTAGGTCGGAATGCCGGGAGTCCTCCCTTTCAGGAGTAGATGCAGAAGATGCCGATTCTACCGCAGGCTGCTGCTGCGGCTCACATACGGACGGAGACGATGCGGCGATCTCCTCCTCGAAGCTCCTCATGACGTCGGCCAGGTCGCTGTCGGCAGGGGTGGAGGCGCTCCGATCGACCGCCTCCATATCCTCGAGGATCTCAAGGAACTCGAGGTCCGCCTGCCGGAGCTTCTTCCCCGTCGGCGACTCCTCGGATCCGTCCCGCACTCTCTTGCCGTGGCTGTTCTCCGCCATCCCAGCGTTCTCCATACCGGAAAAAGAGAGAGAATGAAGAGAGAGAAATAGCTCAGCAATAAAGAGGGTTTTTTGGGCAAAGGACGGGGATACGGAGGCAGTCTATATATACAGTCGGAGCCGAGGTGGGGGTTTTATGGGAAGACCAACATAAATAAATAAATAATATTTTTTAAGGAACCAGGAAAAGGCGGTGAGACGGGTGGAATCAGAGATCACGGGCGCCCCGCCACTCTCCCTCCACCTGTCCCTCTCTCTCTTTCCCGTCCCTCCACGACACCTTCTCGCATTCCGTTGCCGACTATCGGACGTCTCTGGAATCCGCGCTTTGGAGTCCGAAAACAGGCGGCCCCCACGTGAGTCCTGGACCATCTGCGACCGATGGATCGTCTTCCCACGTGAAAGAAGCATCCAGATAGAGCATTGGCACGTGTGGTGTCGCGTGCATCTCAACCAAACGGCACCGATCGTGCGTCTAAAAGTAGGGTCCACAATAAAAAGAGACCTCCCGAGCTGACTCGTTCGATTGGTGACGTCAGATCTCGGGATATTACGGTGGGCTCGAGAATCGGCCCGCCGTGACGTGTACCTGAAGAAATCGGCCCTGCCTCACGTGACTCGTTTTCCCGGTCCACTTGGCGCGGCGTTCCACGCGGCCCGTTGGTCCGCGATCCCGGAGCCGACGGCCGATCGCACGTGCAGAGACCTCCGGCCGTTGAACGGCCACGTGAGTTTCTAGACCGGTGATCGTGTTTAGGAGCCGAAAGGGTTAGATGATATTTTTGAAAAAGGCGGTTAAATCGGTAACCGATGGGTTTTTAAATAATTTAGTCACATGCTTATCTGGAAAATAATCGACCTTGGAACTATCCGACGGAGAAACCGTCGCTCTTACGTGGAGGGCGACGTGGACAGGCGACAGTTTTGAGGGTCAGAGATGGCCGGCCACGTCACATCTCCACGGCGCGAAAATCTCCGCGAGGGACGTCACATTTGGCGCCGCACCAACATTTATATTGAGCTTATACCCCCATTCCCAGAGGCTCCCGAAGATCTGCCGTTTACCCAAAAACAAAAGGAATTGTAATAATATACCCCAAAATGGTCGTTGTAACGGTACGTGCATGCGTGCGAGGGGTAGAGAGAGAGAGAGAGAGAGAGAGAGAGAGAGAACCACAAAATTATCTCTTTTTTTTCTATTACTTTATGTGGAGTGTCCGGCCACGTCGTCGGTTGAACTGAGAGAGGTGCAGAGAGAGAGAGAGAGAGAGAGAGCCAGAAAATTCTCTCTTCTTTAAATTATTTTATGTGCAATTATCGGCGACGTTCTCCGTTTGAACTGATCGGGAATATAAACAAGAACGTGGGCTGCGCTGGCGGAGACGGTGCCGCCGTCGCCGACCCTTCCGCTGGGTGGGTTGGACGGTCGGCCAGTTGAACTGCGCAAGATCCCAACCGCAAGACAGGCCGCCCCCCCTTGACGTGGCTTCTCCACCTCTCTTTCTCTCTCTCTCTCTCTCTCTCTCTCTCTCTCTCTCTCTCTATCTATCTATCTATCTATCTATCCATCGGTTCTCTCTGGCCCCCTCGAACGTGGAAGCATATTCCTTTCTTGACGGCAACGTCTGGCCCATTTGAAAGCCGAAGAAGAGGGGTCCACGGCCCGTTTGCTATCATTGAGAGGGGAAGTGGGTGTGACTAAACCCGTGGGCCCTTCGAGACGGAGTAAAATCGTCCCATTATTCATCGTCTGGGTGTTTCCCAGTCACGTTCGCACTGACGTTGGCCCATCGTCGACCCCCAACCTCCACAGGCCCAGTGGGCCTCGACGACGAGGGCCTACTAAACAATAGTAGCGCCAGCCAGCTAAGTGTCGGCGTGGATCTCGGTAATAGGCGTGATTCTCGAACTTGGAGGAAATAAATAATTCCCTCTATTTGTGTCCGCTGGCAAAGACTTGTAAAGTCAACTCATTTATGAAATCTTGGAATATTTTTTCAAATGGTTTTGGTACCTACTGACTGAAAGGTGAGGCTACATCTAGAGAGAGAGAGACGAATAGAATCGAAGCTTTGACGATTACATGAAGGTTAGGAGAAGCTCTGGGTGGAGGGAGGTGTGGCGCATCTGCCCCTCTGTTCGTCTCGGGGGTCAAATTGCAGCGTGAAAGTCGATGAACTGGGTCGTACGTCCCTGGTGGGTAACTCGAGGCTAAATCTCGCGGGTCGAGATTCATGGGGCTGGAAGAAGGTCGATCGAAGGTCTGATCGAGAAAGAAATGGAGTCTGGCGGGCATGGCGGATCAGCAAGACGCCGCCGTCGAGGAAGCGATCCTGTTGTTTAAGGGCGGCCACACCATCTCGCTGCCCCAAATGGAGAGCCACCCGTCTTCTTCTCCGTCTCCGGCGAAGTCCTCGTCTACGAACGGGAACCAACCCCACAGCAATTCCTCGTAGTCGACCGCCGTGTCTCCGCCCCTCCCCCGCCACAACTGCCACCACCTCGGCAGCGCCGCCGCCGCCGGAGTTCCTCCTCCTAGAGCATCGCCGGCCGCTGCTCCCATCGCTTCTGGCTCCGGTTCCGATCTCCCACCCGCTACAAAAGTGTAATCCCGTAGACGTTTCGCCGGCGGCCGATCGGCGGGGCTCCCTCGCTCGGCGTACGGGGGGGGGCGGAGAGCGCCACCGTCGTCCCTGCCCCGCTTCGCCGGCCTCATGACGTTCATCTTCGTACGCACAGCGGAGGATCGGCGGGGACCAGGGGTGGGTTTATAGGGGCGGTAGGCGAGAAGAGGAACCTTGGTGCTGGAATCAACGGAGCCGTGAACAGGATAATAGAGCTGGTCTCTTGCCCGTCCGGCGACGGCAGCGACCGAAGAGGACATCCCCCTGAAGGTGAAAGTCGACTACGAGTTGTCCGCAGCTTGCATCCCATGCCGCAGGTTCCCTCAGCCGTTGGTGTCTAGTAAAGGCGCTACAGAGAAAAACACTCCGATTCGTGAGCGCGGTGTTGATTCAGGGCCCGCCGGCTTTAGTGAGGGCGGGGTCCTAGGGACCCATGTCACCAGCGACCCTCCGCCGGGCTCCCGGGAAGAGGAGTTGCCCCGCCGACATGTAAGCTGCGTGGTTCCCAGAGAACCACGTCTTCCCTCGGTATAATGGTCCCCCCCCCTGCATGTAGAACGTGCATGAACTACAGCTGGCCGAGTGAGATCACGGGTCCCATCGGTTGTCACAGAGAGAGAGAGAGATGGGTCTTATCCTTCCCAACGGCACACGAAAGGGTTGGCAAGGTGCCCCTTTAGAAGGGCGGCTGTCTGGTGCGAGAATCGGGGGAGCTCGGTGGGCATGGGAGCGACCACGGGAAACCAGGAAAAGGGCAAGTGTCCCGCACGGGACTGCGGGTTTTGTCTGCTCCTCCCTCTGACCAGACCGCTCATCGCGCTTTGCCGCCCTGCGGCCGCCGGCGGATCTTCGTCGTCACCGGAGGGAAGAGCTACGGTGGGCCGACGATTCCCGGTGTACAGCTCCGCGGTGGGTCACCATCTGGGGAGGAAGGGTTTCTCCGTGAAGGGTTCGCCGACGGGGCTGCAACAGCGAGTTTATCGGATCTGATCTTCAGACTGATTATTTATTTCGGATGAGATTGATTACACTATTTGCCAGACGTGCTCATTAATTTGAATATATTGATACTTGTTCTCGCCGGCAGGCGGCGGCGGCTAGGGCGGCACGCCGACTCTCTCTCCTTGGCGGTCCTGTTCGAATGGATAAACGAAATAACTCGGAATAGCTCTCGCTGAGATCAACGGCAACATAAGATGTAATTCTTCGGTGTCGTCTTCTACCCAAAATCTCAAGTGTTAGGTCTAACAAAGGGAAAAGATCAGAAACAGAAAATTAGCACTGCCGCTTTCTCTCGCTCTCCCTCTATCTCTCTCTCGTCATATCTACAGCAATCTGTCAGACTTATTCGCAGAGAGCATGCCTCTGTTCGTCGTAGCCCCAGATGCAGAGCCACCCCTCCTCCCCTTCGCACGAGAAGTCCTCGTCGACGAAGGGGAACCAGCCCCATAGAAGCTCCTCGTAATCGACCGCCATCCCTCCCCCCCTCCCCTCCCACAGTTGTCTCCACCTCGGCAAACCCGCCGGGCACTGGCCGACGGCCCACTCGCCGCTGGCCTCCGGCGCCGCCCTGCAGCGCTTTGCCGACGGTGGCGGGGCGGAGCTCTCGAGCTTTCCCTGCTGCGGCACCTGGACGCCGCTTGTCCCCTCTCTGACCCGTTTCGCCATTTCTTTCTTCTTCTTCTTCTTTTTCTTCCGGATTCTCTGCAGAAAGATGGGGAAGGGGATCGGATTTATATGCGCGTGGGAGGAGCTTGCGGTTGGATTCGACGAAAGGGAGATGAGAAATATGAACGGGCGCAGCCGGTTTCCCACAGGCTGGATCTGAACATGTGAGCGAACTATAAGAAGTGGCTGGGAATCCTCCTCGCCGCGGTTTGGTGCCGGCCCCCCACGGTTTTGTCTACTCACTCTCACCCTGTTTCTCATCTGAAAGTGGCTAAAAGTGCAGAGAGAGAGAGAGAGAGAGAGAGACAGACAGCTTCTCTCTCATCGAACCCACTTTTCCCCAGCCCACTGAAATACAAAGGGAAACGTCTCCACTGAAAAGTGCAGGACGACGACAAGGTTGACTTACGTGGATTAACGAGATTAACGGTTTAACGGCTCAACGGCAAGCAAATGGTCAATTGGGTAATTACGCGGGTCTCCGACCCAACTGCGGGTCTCAAGAGAAAACTTATGGACATGAGACGGGTAGAACTCCATCTGATCGGAGAAGGGTAACTTTCTCCATCAACGAGAGAAAGACGGGTAGAAAACATTTGACCGTTACCGTCTTTCTCTCCCCCCATTTCCGTCAGTGGTTCTTCGCCTGAGGTAGGCGCTCCACCCGCCGAATCGTCAGAGTCGGAGGCCGGTAGGCCGTGGGAGACGACTCCGCAGGCTCGCACCAGCTCCGGTCGGACGGGAAGCTCTGAATCGTCATCTGGGAATCGAGCGCCACCGCCGGGGGGCTCACAGCGAGGACCCGCTGGCATTCTCCCGGCTTTTCCCCGGCAGGTGGCAGGAGCGCGTCTGAGACGGTCAACTCAACTCTGCAAGGATTGCCGTGACCGTGGCCCGACGTCAGCCTCTTGGTTCGTTTCACAGAGCCAGCGGTTGGAGTGCAGGATTTCGGCTGGTCTCGATCTCCCTAGTGACGCCCTCGACCCATCGGACCGTAGTTCCAGGCACATTACCTCACCGTCGGAGTAGGACTGGGCGTTGTACCGTGCGGACATGCACGGCGTGCGCGCATTCGATGCGGCATGACATGGCGCGGCACGCGAAGAGTGGTGCTATGTGCACGGCAGCACAACACAGCACTGGCCGGCAGGTACAAAGAGGCTGCGTGCTAGTGACTCTATGCGGCTACACAACTGCGCAGAGCACCAGGCGGCAGGGTATAAATATCACAAAGTGTGTGGTGGCATGTGGCAAAATACGATGAAGAGTGCCACCGGGCGTAGTGCGCATAATGTCAACAAATGTATGCTTGAACGCCCAAGCAACGCAAATGTATGCTTGACACTTCTCTTGTTCTACCCTCCCTTTACAAATTGAGACCCGTTGTAATATCCAAGGTAGTGAGGCGAATAATGCTTTGATTTTTTCTCTCTGTTATATCTTTAGTGTCAACTAGTGACTTCCTAATTTTGTGTGTGTAGTTCCGCTAAGTCTCTATAGAGTCAGAAGTTGCTCAATGTCAAAGATATAACAAATGTTTCATATGATTGAAAATTTCAAAGGTACATTCATGATGACTATGTAATAGGTAGTATCAAAATAGATACATTAGAGTCTAAGTAACAGCAAATTCACTAGTGATGGCCTATGAAATTAGAACACAAAGCTAGAGATTTATTCAATTGGAAGAATGAGTAGTCTTATTGGTTAACAGAATGGAAGCTAGTAAAACTTGTTTCTATGCACCTAAGGAACACATGGTATATGCTCAAATAGCTGTAAGTGAAGTAACTGCTCACTCAAACTTAAAATAGGGAAGTAACATTGTAATAGAAGAATTGGGTGAACACATCAAAACCTTGCATTTAATATGACCCTAATAAATTATTAGTAGAAAATATGCTGCAAGTGAGTTGCATGTCATGAAATGTTCCTTGAGTTTAGGGCATTTGTGGGGTACAAGAAATGGGTAACAAATTGAAAATTTCAGGTAGCTCTAAATATTACTTTGAACTATTCCGCACCCCATAGGAAAAGAAGGTTATGAAGTTATGTTGAGAAATATGTATCTGACAAGAAATATTAAACTTTGATAGAAAATATAGATGGAGGTGTAAACTCAATACCCCATTAACACAAGAGAAGAATTTATTCAGAAATTCAATGAGTAGTGTTTACCTAACCAAAAATGCTTAAATGGTCCATGATGTGCATCAATATTTGAAGTATATTACATTAGTGAGAGAGTATATGAAACAGTTCACTTCACTCTGCCTTGACATAGAAAACATGTTTGATGAGAATAGCCTTTTTAAATTTATAACATTGTTACAACTACATGTGAAAATGGAGTTGCAATGCTAATGAGTGAGGGATGTACAAAAGGGTCATAGTGATCACCAATGCCCTCATTGACTCTAAAACTCTTGCCTCCTTGCCTCCTTGAAATATGATAGTGGCAAGAAAAATGAGACAATTGCAAACTAAGAGAACAAAGTAGTGGTCGTTATGATGATTGCAAGAGTTAAGAAGGTGACAATCCCACAAAAGGGTCGACAAGGGTTAGGAAGGATCAAAGACTATTGTGGTAGAATGAGTCAACAAAGAGTAAGTAGTCCTTACATATGAAAGGATTGTTCAATAATTGGATAAATGAGCCATTCACATAGTGGTAGTTATGAGAGATGACATGCTTATTTGAAACCCTGTTGTCTATTAAGCACATTGTAATAGTATATATTTATTAATAGAAGGAACAAAAATAAGTTGATCCATATAGAGGTTAATATTACCAATTAATATATCATCATGATGATCAATAGTGTAGTTATCCACAACTTTTTCTCTTAAAAGAAAAATGTATTGGTTGGATTTAATGTTCTTAAGGTGAGATAGTTAGATCAAAGTTGTCAACTTGACGACATGTACCTTGATTGGTGTCTTGTGTGATGGATGGTTAAAGTCAACGTGAGAATTTTTTGTAGATTTCATGGCCACTAATAGATAATTTTATATCATCTTTGCCATGAATTTTTCTACGTGATCACAAGCGAGGGTCTTGTCTCATTTATATGTTATCTTCTTTGTAAGAGGAGTGAACAATGTTTCATCTTCAGAGCATGAGAGGTTCAATAAGGCCTATAGATGTTGTTAAGATTACAATTTTTGAAATGGAGACCTTGCTCATAACCCTATGGCACATGACAATTGTCACTCATTGGACCTCAAACCAGCAGGACAGAGCATGCATGTAACATCTATTGGTATGTGCATGAATGTCTTGGGCACATAAGTACTTTGTCAGTGTGTAAGCAAGTATGAGTGATAGAAGGAATCAATATAATTGACCTATTGCTGGTACATAAGCTGATGGTTAAATTAGTAGGGTTGACCACTACAAGTGTTTATGTTGTAATGGTGTGAGTGGAGATTGAAATTAACACACTAAGACAATTATGGTTTAAAGTTATTTAGATTTTAGAGAAGTTTAATAACATTCGATCACATGATTTTTTGGTTAATTGTCTAGTAGAATTGAGGTAGATCATGTAATAGAGTTCATGCTTGATGCCTAACCACCCATAGATACATTGCACAAGATGTCATTGACATGGTTAGATGAGTGACATTGATAGTTGCCCAATACTTTAATGGTGTAGAGCTACACCAATTTGGTGGTTATGCTGACTATGTTTTTGAAGAAATACTTGCATTGAGATGGTTTGAGAGGTGACAATATATGTTTGATATATTCAATATAATCACCTTTATTGATTGTTTGTAGATAGTCATGAGTTAGCTGATCATGTGGTTACCTAACTTTAATAGCTTTTCTAAAGTACACATTGAAATTTCAAACATTGTCATTGGTGGCTTGATGATGTAAGATTAATATCTGGGGAAATTTAGAAGTTGAAATAGAGAGGTGTTTGTTGTTGCACATAAGGAAAATAATGAGGTTATGTTTTCTTTTGAGTGCAATGTCATTACCTCATCCACAGCCACTTCACTATCTACATACACAACATGTTAATTAATTACTTTGAGATATAATATATGGTTATACCTGATAACATGCTATTTATGCATGTAATTATATAATTATTGATGCAAATTAATGCATTAATCATTACAAATATATGCATGTTATTATATTTTAAGTATATTTCTATCATTTTGTGTAAATTCATGTTATGATCTTAAAATACACCAAATTATAGATTATTATAAATAATTACACATTACAATCTTTAATCCTAATTATATTTATGATCATAATCATGTTTTAAGAGTGAAAATATGAGAGAAAAATATTTATTAACATTTATGTATTTATATAAATTTATTTTATATAATACATAAATGTATAAAATTAATTAAAATTTATTCTCTTCTTATTTTAATAATTTGACCTTTTATAATGATAGATTATTCAATTTTGAATAAAAAAACAAATTTGAATTAATTTGGAGTTGTATTTTGAAAGTTATGATTTTTACAATTTTATAGAATTTCTGGATTTTTTCTGAATTTATTTATATTTATATTTATTTTTTATTTTTAAATGTTTTAAATTAATTAAAAAATTGCAAAAAGGGGTTATATGTCGCGCGTGTACACGTGGATCTAAAGTCCTTTGTTTTTCCCGTGTGGGACTAAAGTCCCTTAGTTTTTTTTATGTTCAGTACGCGTGGCGTGATCTCGTGCGTCCGATCGACATCGCGACAAATAGCGTGCGTAGATCACGTGGAATCGAGGTCCACGCGATCAGAGATCAACCACGTGCCTAAATACTCACTTAAGTGAATAAATTGCGACCGTCTGATTGAGAGTTATAACGGTCCAGATTATTCACATCAGATGGACATCCAATCACATCTTAACCGCACGATCACGATCGGACGATCGACGAATCGTCGCGACGATTCGAGAAGAGGCGTCTCATCGCGATCGTCCATCGCGATCAACTCCATCAGATCGGACAGCCACGATCATTTACGAATTTTATAAAATCCGTTCTTCGCGACGGAAGAACGGCCGCGATCAATCTTCAATTTCTCCTTGTTTAGAGCTCCAATTCGCGCGCCATCTTTTTCATTGTGTTCGCAACTCATTTCCGCTTCTGTTGGATTTTTAATTTCAATGTTTGATTGAAAGAATTGGAAGAAACAAGTCTTGAACTCCTCTGTCGTCTTCGAAAATTCGGAATGAAAAGCCTTGCATCCGGCGATTAATTGGATCATTTCGAAGGCTAATTTGGGTTAGATTGTTTGTTTTCATCTTACTATTTCATCATTTACTGTTAATTTTACTTTAAGTATTGTAGATTAAGTTTAATTTAGTTTTAATTTCTGTTTTTAATCATTTCGCGATACGAAAATTTCTCTTAACTTCAAACTTCGATTACTCTTCGAATTCTCATCCAAATCACCTGATTTTTGATTCCATGGATTCGAAATTGAGTTATCTTTCTTAATGTACTAAAGTTTCCAATTTCTAACCTAATTTCATCGTCTGATTTGACCGAATTTCAAAGATATCTCTCAAGTTTCCCTAATTCTCCGTGGATTCGACCCTTAATTACCATTATACTAATTAATTACTTTGATTAATCATAAATTGGTAAGATTAGGACTTTGTTTTGACACTGAATCGTGTGCATTCAACGACCATACGATTTAGTCTCGTCAATACCAAAGTAAATTGAATGGTATTTATTTATTTTTAAATAATAGTTAGGGCATGTTGATATTGTAGTTACTGACTTCAATTCCAAGGAACACAAAATAAGTCTTGAATTGATTTCAGTGAATAGTGGTATTATATTAAAAGAGATCATAGATGCACCATTTCAAGATGTAAAAGTGGCAAAGACACGTTGGCCTTGACAATATACCTCATGAGGCATGTGCCATTCTCCAATAGATAATATGTATGTCAACAAGATAAGACTAAACATAGTAAGAGAACATGTACCTTAGAGTCATTGACTATTTTGAGTTGATCATAAGGAGGCCAATTTATATGGACTTCACCATTAGGCTGCTAAGGGTGAATGATCTGAACATAACTTTCATTGTAATTGATTAGTTTTGAAAGTACTTCATGTTCATTCCAACACAATTGATAACCAATGTTGTGAAGCATTATCATTATTTATAGGACATCATTAATGATCAAGATGTATGATTCATTGTGTATTTTCGGATAACTATCTATAGTAACTTGGGCACATAATTTCATTTGCAAATTAATAGTCAAACAATGATATAAGCAACATGTTGAAGATATTTGTTATTATGTCATAACGAATCAAGAGAATTGAGTAGACGTTAGATGTCACTCAACTCTTATACAACCTCCTTTAGAGGTCGATGATAGAACCATCATTGTTAAAACTCATGACAAGGAGGCTACATAGAAGCATACAACATAGACTAGTCTGCTATATAACTTAGTGGCACATTAGTTCATGCATGCACATGAGAAACACCTAATAGAGACACATGAGACATTGATGTGCATATCTTGCCCAATGAAAATGTATATAAAAATCAACACTAATGTGAGGTGGAGTTCAATGCTGAGCATCTCATATTAATTTAATGTCGAGTGGATGAAACAACACCTTGGGCTAGTACTCAACTTGTGACAAAGATTAAGGATCTACCTAATCTTCGATGCATTGTGACGAGGAGGATACAGAGTGTAATCATCTTTAACAAACACTACTTATGTGCATCTAATACACCAACTTAGTATATTAAGACAGGAGATTTATCAAGATAAATAATTCTTCACAAAGTTCTGTCGATTTTTTTTGTTAAGTGGAGAGGACGCATAGAAGGATGTAATGTGGAAGCACAAGGTCAACTTGTGATAATTCAAAAACCTAGTCGATAAGTATCTTAAGAAAAGTAAGTCATACCCACAGTCCGACGAAGTCAAATTGCCATGCGACACTCTCTGCTCCTACTGCATTAAATTAATTCTTACTGTAAGATTGTAATGGTTAGCCCTCTGTTCGTATAGGTCATCCGGAAGGCACGTGTGCTGTCCACGCATCTGCCTCCGGCGGCGCGCCCAGGGAGCTTTCACTTGCGCCGCAGGTCCGTAGGAAAGTCTCTCAAAGCTCGTGTTCGATATCTTGCTCGATATTTGATAGGTCAGAAGCAGGATGATTCAATAAGTGAAGAGGTCAATCTGGTCTAATTAGAAAGGTCAACACTTGCAAATCTCCAAGGTTTCACGAGGAAGAGCTTGGCGGTGTCGGACGACGAACCAGAGGAAAGAAAACCAGGAGTGCGTACGGGGGCGATAGGCGGATGCTTCCGCTGAACTAGGAAGGAGGGATATGAAAGGAGAGCCAGCCGGGTCAGCTCCCTATCTCCATCCGCCAGGTCAGGGAGAAGTTCTTCCCGAGAGGCAACGCGAGGCCTCCGATCTCCACCATCAAGGATCTGGGGTTCAACTCCAGGAAGCGAGCGCCGGCGAGGTCAGAGAGAGCCTCCCCGTCGACCTCAATGGAGAGGCCCCGTCCGGCTCCCGACACTCCGACCAGGGTCACCTTCTCGATGATCAGCTCCTGCTGCAGGGCGAAGCTCCCATGGGCCACATCGGACCAGACTCTCACGGTGCCGTTTTGAAGGGTGGCGTAGAAGGTGGCGTACGTCGACTGCCCGTCCTCGAGCTTCATCTCCGGTCGCTCGTCGTCGTCCACGAACACGCCGCCGCTCGCCTCGCCGACCGCGGCTCCCAGCGGGAAGGCGACCACCAGGGTGAAGGGCGTGGCCCTCGCCTCCTTGGACCTCATCCCCCCCTGCTGCATGGGGAGAATGGTGTTCTGGTGGACATGGACATTGATCTCGTTCAGAGGAGCATCCAGCGTGACGTACTGGCCGTCCTCCGCCGAGACGGTCTTCCTCAGGTCGAATAGGTTGTACCAGGTCCCCGGGGGGAACAGCGCCTTGACGGCCGTCGCCCCCTGCTCCAGCACCGGCGACACCATCACGCCGCGGCCCAGCAGGAACTGCGTGCTCAGCCCGTATGCCTCCGTGAAGTTGGGGAAGGAGAAGAACAGCGGGCGGGCGATCGGCGCTCCGGTGGTGTGCGCCTCGTAGCTCAAGGTGTAGAGGTACGGAAGCAGGCGGTAGCGGAGGCCGAGGGCGTTCCGTGCAGAGGCCGCCACCGAGTCCCACAGGTAGAGCTCCTGCCGCGGCGAGTGGAGGTTGGAGTGGTCGCGCGAGAAGGGATAGAAGGCACCGAGCTCGATCCACCGGTTGCAGAGCTCCTCCGTCGGCGCCGGGTAGAACCCGCAGATGTCGGAGCCGACCATCGGCATGCCGAAGATGCCGAAGTTGAGCATGGTGGAGATGGAATACCGGAGGTCCTCCCAGGTGCCCTTGTTGTCGCCGGTCCAGTGGGCGGCGAGCGCGCCGGAACCCACGAATGTAGACCTCGTGAGGATGAATGGCCGCTTCCCCTGGAGGCCTTGGAGGGCCCTGCGGGTGGCCACCGCCTGGGAGAAACCGTAGAGGCTGTGGGCGTTGTATTCGAGGACGCCGCCGTAGTGGGTGGCACTGGTGGCGATCGTCTTGAACCCCAGCGGGACCTGGCTCCCCGACGCGTTGATCTTGTACGGGGGCTCGTCCCATCTGGTCTCGGTGATGTTCTTGCAGACCAGGCAGCAGATCCAGGGGGTATCGGAGTTGGGCACCGGGCAGGGGTGCGCCGCCGTCGGCATCTCGCATTGGCCGGTGCAGAAGTTGGAGACCTCGTTCATGTCGATCCAGAGGCCGTCAACGGGGACGAGCTCGTGGAAACGGTCGATCTCGTCGACCCACCATGAGACCCCACTGGGGCTGAGGAAGTCGGGGAAGTACACCGGCCCTGGCCACACCTGGGCGAGGTATGGCTTGCCGCCGTACTTGATGAAGACGTCCGCCGCCATTCCCCGGACAAAGACCCCGTAGCTCTCGTTCACGGCGATCCCCGGGTCGATGAGGACGATGTACTTCATCCCCTGAGCGTGGATCTTCTCGAGGAAGGCCAGCAGCTTCGCCCGCGGGTAGTTCACGGGGTCGAGTGTGAAGTCCTTGGCGGCGTCCATGTGGTCGTCGTCGTTCCAGATGACGTCCAGGGGGATCCTGGCCTTCTGGTACGCTTCGACGACGCTCTCCACCACCGAGATGTTCTGATAGCCCCACCGGCATTGGTGGAATCCTGTGAAACCCAAGACCAACCAGAAGAACCAGAGATGTTTTCAAACCCGTTGCCGGAAAGAAGAAGATCCATCCATGAGGGGGAGAGAGTCAGACCGAAGGCCCAGTAGGGCATGGGAGCGGGGCGGCCGATGAGAGAGGTGTATTGGTCCACCACTCCGAGGGGAGTCGGCCCGGAGAAGAAGTAGAAGTCCAGCACGCCGCCGATGGCCTTGTAGGTGAGGGAGGTGCCTCTGTAGACAACGTCCATGCCATTGCTGTTGAGCAGCAGGACGCCATGGGCGGAGGGCTCGCCGTTCACGTTCCTGAGGTCCATGTAGAAGGGGTGCGACCCGTAGAGGTCCATGTTGAGGTTAATGGCGGAGATGTCTGTGGTGTACAGGGTGTATGGGTCGTTGGGGCGCAGCCGGATCCCTCCAGGTTGCGTGTTCTCGCCGAGGCCGTAGATGGCGGCGCCGCCAGGCAGCCGGGTGGATATCTCCAGGTACTGGTCCTTGAAGACCAGGCTGTTGTACGGGTCGCCGGCGCCGGCATTGGTGTCGAAGAGGATTTGCCCATCGGACTTCCTCTTCACCGTGAAGCCAAAGGGGTCGGCCTTATAGGTGAAGACCAGCTTCTCTCCGGAGAACTCGCCGGCGGGCAGGTTGAGGGAGCCAGAGGAGGATGCGGGCTTCGTCTGCGGGACTCGCTCTCGGGGAAGAAGATCGTAGGGGACCTCCCACCTCTCCTGGTCATCATCTGTTATATAGACTCTCAGCCGGTCTTCAGTCTCATGCCTGAGATTTGAGGATCAGTCGAACAAGAAATCAGAAGAACAGAATCTGTGAAGCAGGAAGAAGGGAGGATGAACACAGAAGGAAATGTAACCCCCCGGTGAGACCCATAGAGAAGCCATTAACAGAGGAATCCCGCGCAGGTAGGAAGAATGGTCGTGAATGGAGTATCAAACGAAGGATACAGACGCTGTGGAGAGGTTTTCAGGGACGGTGAAAACCTGACGAAGAACTTCAACTGGCGGATGTCGGGGCCGTACTTCCCGGTGCTCTGCTTCACCTGCAGAACCCCGGCAAGGCCCTCGCCGCCGGGGCTCCTCCCGATGGCGACGAGGCGATAGCCCCGGCCAATCTTCTGGGTCGACCCCGAGACGCCGAACCAGGAGGCGAGAATCAGCAGAGACACAACCCACGCCCCCAGGTTGGCGCGGAGCAAGGAGAGAGATAACGACATCCTTCTTCCTCCCCACCTCCCCCTTCCTCCGGCTAATGTCGACACCCAGCCAGAGGCGATGATGAGACAGAGGAGACCTGCCGCGACGTCGCCACAAGGACTGCTGCTACTGCCATAAATTGCAACCCGCGGCCGCGAGGACATCACGAGAGAGCGAGAGAGAGAGAGAAAGAGAGAGAGAGAGAGAGATAGGAAGTGCCTGTGGGCCCGTGGTCTATCGTCTTTCAGCGAAAACTTTGTCGTCCTCGCAGACCGATCGTCGCCAGTCTGATGGATAACCAAAGATAAAGCCGGGGGGGTCCAACGGCCTGTGGATCCGATGGCCCAGATCTCGATGGGATAAAATCCCACGGACCATATTCAAACACGAGTCTTGTTTTTTGCGGTCGTCTCAACGGCAACTCACGTGCAGAAAGCGAGAGGCGAAGGCGGGAGAGTATGACGGTGGGCCCATTGGCCGTCACTGACGAGGTTCCCAAGAATACCGAAAGGAATGGGTCCCACCGTGCTGACGTGGTGAGAAAAAGCTGCTGCCTCTGGCGATTTACGCACCTCGGTGGCGCCAGCGGGCCAAAAGGAACGGCGGCCTCTCCACGTGGCAGTTGACCGTTAGAACGCTCGGTGCATTTTTGGGCCGATTATGTTCAGGCCCAGTAAGAAGAGGCCACTCCGGCCCACCATTGTATCAACCAAACCAAGCATGGTATATTATTGTAACTTTTGTAAACTATACGTAATATTTCCCTGATTCGATAACTACAACTATACGCATTTATGCGTACTTATTTTTCCTTGATTACTTAAGTTTATGTTCAGTATACATGGGGAGGATGAGAGACGTACAGTAGAGAGAGAGAGAGAGAGAGAGGAGGCCATGGGTTAGGGAAGAAGTGTACCGCGTCGTGAGATTACAGCGTGAGGCTCAGATCGAGGCTGCAGCCGTCTTCTTTGTTCTCGTTTTCCTTCCCCTTCGGCAGACAGAGCGGGCCGGTAGTGAGGCTCCTGGCGGGCTGCTCCGAGACCGTGAAGTCCTCCCACTGGAACATCGGCGTCCACGGCGGGGGCCTCCCGCGCCTGCGTCTCTTCCTCTGCTCCTTGTCTCCGGCCCTCCGTCTCCGCTCCCTCATCTCTCTGATACTCCTCATCAGCGCGGCGAAATTCTCCATCTGCTCCTCTTCGCCTCCCCCCTCACCCTTCGGTTTATCCTCCTCTATTATCTCCCCACCCATTCTCTCTCTCTCTCTCTCTCTCTCTCCCCTCGTCGTCGCCACGGCGGAGCTGGGGGGAGGGGGACGGGGAGAGGCCTCAATGGTGTCAGCCCCAACGTAATGCCCGAGGAGAGAGCAAATAGTAGGATCCTGTTGGAGAGGCCGATCGGCTTCTGCGGCATTAAGATGCTCCTAGAAACGGGCATCTACCAGCGTCGCCCTCTCTAGGCCGTGATAAACGAGGAGCATTCAATGTACTCTTAAAGACCTAGTATCTACTAACGTTGATCTCCTAGGCGGTGATAAAGTAAGTACATTTAATTTAGTCTTGATAGGGAGAGAATCACCGAGTGGATAGCGAACGTCGTCCCTCGTGGTTCAAGAACCTTACTTTGGAGGAGGAAGATGCCGTATCAATGCACCCAGAATCTTTCGCATTCAATGGCGCACTTTAAAGGTCGTCGAATTTTATTTTAAAAATGTAAAAACTACAAAGGTCCTAGATTAGATGTGGAACTATACTATTATATATGCATGGAAATTTAATACGCAAGGCTGGAGACGATTAACACAGATTCTCGAAGACTTTGTCAGTGCATAGCAGAGCGTAGCTGCTGAGTTCAGATCAAGTTTTGGCCCGGCGACTGGACGAGGGCTCGTTTTCAGGGGATTGTCGTGGAATTATTTGACCAGGGAACAAGATCGTCCCCTTGATTGGTTTCCCCCTTGGTGCACAATTGATCCACGCGAAGACTCCCTCCCCTTCTCTGACCGTCGAATGCCGAGAGGATAAGGGCACCCACTGACTGCGGGATTGCCTTCCCATCTTTCGACGGCGAGACGTAGGGAGCGAACGTTCGACCCTGATCGGACCTCCTGCGCAGCACAGACGTTATCTTCCCTGTGTGCTATTCTTGACGGAGACGAGGCATCTATGGTCATCAACACTTCATCGCTACTTCACTAGTCCATGATACCATTTGGATAGAGAAGTATCTAAACCCCGGATTAGAGCACTAAATTATACATATTATTCTAATTCTAATGTGCTTAAATTGTTAGGGGACCGAGTATTCATGGTTATTGAGTTCATCGGGTCGGGCTCTGCATATAATTTGTTTGTGCACATCATGTGCGAAAAATGTAGAATTTATTTGATTAAAAGCTTGACTACCTCATGTTAAAGCAAACCATGTGGTTTAGAAAACCTATTTCAAATATTCCCATGTGGTTTAGAGCTCATTCGTTACTTTTTGTTAATATAAATTATATAGTTAAAGTAATAAATAAGAGGTCCCATTTTTTATTATAATCTAAATCAACATGGAAATTTGATGTTCTTTTTCGATAAAGTCAAGGCAATCTTATTAGGTAATAAATCAACATGCGTTTTTATTTATTTATGTATATCTCCAAATTAATGGATGCGGTGCTGTTCTCCATGAAAGAAGCCTGCCGTCTCACATCAACCTTCGTCATCGCCAACCCAAACCAAGATAGGTGCTCTCGCCTTTCTACATATCTCAGGTTACTTTAATCAAAGGCTCTATGATGCATACTCTGTAGATTCAGGGTCATTTTTCGTTATCAAATTGTACTTAAGTTTTCATTGAATTCCCCTGCAAGTAGCATCCCTAAAGGTTTAGGCATCCAAAGCCAACCCAACCTATGTTTCAAGATTTTGAACTCAAAATGAAGATCTTAAAGGAAACAACTCTTGACTCAGCTTTGATACATGAAGCCTGATTCTCTTTCTTTTTACCTGATTCTACCTTGATCACCAGCCGGTAGGTGGGATTCATCCCCCCTTCCCTCATATATTCCTCTCTCTGGCTTTTTACTTTATCTGTTTCTTTCCATCTCTCTCCCTCTCTCTCTCTCTCTCTCTCTCTCTCTCTCTCTCTCTGTATCTATCTATCTATCTATCTATTTATCTATCTATCTATATATATATATATCCATGTAGACAAATATCTACCTATAATATCTCACAGGTACATAGACAGAGCTAGGCTAGGTTCAGGCTCTGGATCGACTCTGATAGCCTCGAGTCCGGTCGGACCTCTTCGAACCCGTAATTCCCCGGAGATATATAATAATATGTAAAGAATATACGAGGAACGTGACATATTGGGAAATTAAATGATCTGTTCGAAGATATTTGCGTGCGGAATGGTCACTACACCAGATAGCTCTCGTCACCATAGATTATCTATCTTGTTTTCCTCTGGCTTGTGGACCGCAGAGAGTGACGACTAGAAAGAGAAGATAATCTTGTTGCCCACCTGCTCCCACCACCATAGCCCAATAACGAGCCAGCGATGCCGCAGGGAAAGGGGGGCGGTGAGGAGAGGGTGTCCTGACGACGGCGGAGGAGAAACGAGTCGGTGCCCCGTGGGCCTCGTCTATCGATGATATCACACGGACGCGGACTCTAGGCCAAGCCACGATAGATGACGGCGCGCCGATGGACCTGCCTCTGCTTTGTATGGGATCTTCTTTTTAATCAGTTCTTCCGCCATTTTCGGGGATAAAAATCATCCTGAATGCGTTACACGTAGTGGGGCTGCCGGTGGAGATGGTGATCAACCGCTTTCAAGGACGATCTCGGCCGTCAGAACTTTTCTGCCTTTATCTCCTTCTACCTTCATCAAGAGAGCGAAGCCAACCGCGCTATCCCGGCAGAGATGGACGTTCGGACCGATTCGGCGGACAGCCGGGCGGAAATTCTCTCCCCAGAGTTGCAGCACTTGTCGGGCAGTGGAGGGGCGGGTGACGGGTGGCGGCTCAACGTGGGCGACTTCCAAGTGCCAGACAGGCCCAAGAACCCTCCTTTAGCCGCCCGGGTCTTCCTCAAGGCCTCCAGTGAGTCTCCTGGATTCTTCCTCTACTGCAGCGTGTACACAAATCACGTCTTGTTTGCATCATGATAGAATGCCACAAGCCAACTCTTGAGAATTTGCCCTTGTCTTGTCCTCCCCTCAGTGAACCCTCCTCGCTAACGGTTCTGTTCGCTGTTGCATTTCTCCTCGACTAGAAATACCCAATAAGGAAGGTCTACGGGAGGAAATGGACAACCTGTGTCGTCTACCTTCGTCCTTCTGTCTCTCTGTCTCTCTTTTTCTATCTTTCCTCGGCAATTTACCCGCTATGACACAGCCTCTCTCTAAGGTGACAGTTATTTCAGATTTACTGAGTTTGAGTCGTCACACTATCATCTACAGTGCAGTCTCAGTCGGTTGGGGAGTTCCTCTGATGAAGTATCGCACAGTGGCTACGCTATTGTATTTCGTTACCACACTCCATTTTGCGCCATTAATCTTCATTCAAATGTTTGCTTCATGTCAAATTTATGATTTTATGGAGATCAATAATGATAGGTAAAACACGATTTTATAAATTTATTTTTTAACAAGTCAGACATCAATACATATCAAGATCATCCACACGTTGGTCAAGACAATTTTAAAAATTATGCAAAATTTGGTTATAATTTCCCACTCGAAACGTAGAAATACTTAATTTCGTTACCTCAATGAGATTACATCCATGAATTTCCTGAACATCTAAACTTTGATCGTTCTCCCTTTGTTACAAGGCAAACACAGGAAAATTTCAAAATTCTACAAGAAGCAAGAAGATATTGTGAAGGGATTCAGAGAAATGGATTCTGTAAATCAAACAGGCTGTATGCCGGATGCCCCCACTGAGGTACCTAATTTTCATTTTCGTATGAAATTAAATTATTAACTTTTGACTGACCAGTCCATTCATATCTCTGAACACTAGACCATACATATGTATGTATACAAAAACATACTCGTGTATGTGTATTTGCATATTCAAAATTACCTCTTTGAATGGACAACTCTCATACATACATACATACATACATACATATCATATTACATTTATAGAAAAATAGATAGAGATAGGGAGGGAGGAAGAGAGAGAGAGAGAGAGAGGGAGAGAGAGAGAGAGGGAGAGAGAGAGAGAGTCAACAATGTCATCAATTAATACCATATTTTAGTTCACCTACACATATATAGGATTTCACGCTGTTTTTTCAATTTCTGCTATACTAGTAATCCCTTACGTGCCATGATTGAAAGTTCAGGTTGAATATGTCATTTCTCCCAATGATGGATTTCAGGATGATCTAAAGCAATTGGCAAAGAGCGAAAGATTGGCGATTCTCATATCTAACGTGTCAAATTTGGTTCTTTTTGCTGCCAAAGTATACGCATCGATTGAAAGCAAATCCCTAGCTGTTATAGCTTCGACGCTTGACTCTCTTCTGGATCTTCTCTCCGGGTTCATCCTATGGTTTACTTCCCACGCTATGAGGAACCCTAACCAGTATAACTATCCAATCGGCAAGAACAGAATGCAACCAGTGGTAACTTTCTCCCTCTATTGTTGTTAGACCATCGAATTATTTTTCTTATAAATTTGTATAATGTCATTTACTTCTGAGGCTTGGGTACGTAGTGTGCTTAAAAGAACCTATTCTTATTAACAAAAACATTACAAAATGCATATGTCAGAACGATGCTTTTTTAAAAAAATGTTCACATGTATATTTAACTGCTCTAAATATTTGCATTGTTCCTTATAGGGTATTATCGTATTTTCGTCAGTGATGGCAACCCTTGGTTTCCAAATACTGTTAGAGTCTGGACGACAACTTGTTACACAGGTTTGCAGTCACTTTAAGGTTTTCTTTAGCATGTACTTGAGTGCAAGAGAGCGAGAGAGAGAGAGAGAGAGAGAGAGAGAGAGAGAGAGAGAGAGAGAGAGAGAGAGAGAGAGAGAGAGAGAGAGAGAGAGAGAGAGAGAGATCTAAGTTTTGTCACTAAAAGTATGAATTTGTAAATTATTTTCAAACTCTCAATTATAAAATATGCCATCTTTTTGTTCAATTAGTGCCACGGAGGCTGAATATTATGTTTTCATTTATTTTCGAAGTAGCTCATCTCAAGTAATTAAGGCCATGTTTTCGGTGAATTATAAGAACCCTATGATGTCACATTTTCTTATCTAAAAAATATCTCTGATGCTACTTCACTGCTCGCATATTCTTTTCAATATGTAGCTACATAGATGTAGGGAATTAAAGTACATACCTTTTAAAGAGCAAATTCAAGCAAAATTCCAATAACCATTGCGACGGCAGTCTCATTCCCTCTTAGACGCCGCCAAAGAGAAGTGGATGATCGGGATTATGGTCTCGGCGACGGTCGTAAAGTTCGTGTTGATGGTCTACTGCCGAAGCTTCGAGAACCAGATCGTTAGGGCTTACGCACAGGACCACTTCTTTGACGTCATCACCAACTCCGTCGGACTCGTCACCGCCGTCCTTGCCGTAAGATACTACTGGTGGATGGACCCAGTGGGCGCAATCATGGTTAGTCCACCTCTCTGTGCTATTTACCTCCCCTTTGAGAATGATAATTTTCTAAATCTCACGATGGTTAAAATGCACGGTTGATTTTTCGTCTTAGGGCCTAAGTTGTGGCATGGTTTTTTATCATAGTAGATATTACGCAACTCTGTCTATATAAGTATAATTATGTGACTGATTTCCTCATATTCTTTTCCTTCTATGTAACAAAAAGTATTAATATTAATGCCACATAATCATAAGAAAATGATAAAGTGAGTCACTCAGAATTAGGAGAGTTTTTATAAACTGAAGTAACTTGGCTTCTAAAATCAAAAACATGTAAGATGGATATTAGTTTATTAGAAAATAATATGTATAATTGTGAAAGTAGAGCCACATAAATGTTTGTGCAACTTTACTATATGGTTATAGATATGTGATCTATGTTCTTGTTCACTAATTCTATTCATGCTATAAATCTTGATTTTAAACACTAATAAAGTTTGTGTGAATTTATTCCCAAGGTTACAAACAATATTTTCTCATTAAATCAGGGTATTCATTTTAAATATTTTCTTTAACATGGCCAACTTCCGTTCTTTTTTTTTTTTACCATACTTTAAATTTTATTTGACTTTATGTATATCATTTCACACATGATGCTACTTTTCTTTAAATTATCTGACATTCATGTCAGAATTTTTGATTTAAGATATCTAGTTCTAAGATTTAAGAAAGTACATGTGATCTAATATGTCTTCTGGTTTCAAAATAATCATAAAAATAAAAATAAATTGGCATATGCCTTGCATGAGAATATAGTATCAAAGTCTGGATAGAACAAGGATAATTACTTGACTGCATTAATAAGCATCCATCTTTATGTGACTTTGATTAGAGGCAAGTCTACAAAAATTAATGTAATGATGGATTGGGGACTTGTTTGTTTGGCCCATTTATAATTATTAAAAGTATATACCAGAAATGTTTAAATAATCTGATTTATCTATTTATTCGACAGATTGCCCTATACACTATAAATACATGGGCGAAAACAGTGATGGAGAACGTGTGGTCATTGGTGGGGAGGAGTGCACCACCGGAGTTCTTGACCATGCTGACCTACCTAATATGGAATCACCACATGGAGATACGCCACATTGACACAGTTCGAGCTTACACCTTTGGGTCCCACTACTTCGTTGAGGTAGACATTGTCTTGCCGGGTACCATGCCACTTAGCCAAGCACATGACATTGGTGAGACCCTCCAAGAGAAGCTTGAGCTACTGCAACAAGTTGAACGTGCATTTGTTCATGTGGACTTTGAATTTACCCATCGCCCTGAGCACAAACCTAGGTCTTGATGTGTTCTCCTAGATTGAGCCTCTGACTTGCCATAACAATGTTATAGCTTTCAGTAGCTCATTTAAGAATTCTAAATTGTGGATAGGATTTTTGTCCAACAAGTTGATTCTTGAAACATTCTTGAAAATTTTACTAAAATATTAATAATCAGTCCCCCAGTGTGATTAGTTATAGTTAGTCAATCATCACACGTAATATATAATTTTATATAAAACTAAATAAAATACCTTCATTTCATTCTCCCTCTCTCTCTCTCGCTCCCCCCTCTCCTGCTCATTCCCTCATTTCCCTCCCCTTGGGTCTATTGGGGTTCATCATCTTCCTTTAATTTGGCTAACACGTGGAAGGACATTACAATAAATTGGCACAACAATATTGCAGTGACACTATAACTTTGGAAGAAAGCTAAATTAGGTGGGCAATAACATTTCTTATGATGGGAATATATATGGTCACACTATTTTATTTTAAGAACTTTTGTTTAATGATCTATGCAAGGGTTCTAGAAAATAATGCCATAAAAGTAAACAAATGTATTATTTAAGTCAACAAAGTGGAGGCATCATGCCCACTTCTAGGGCTCATATTGAGCGTCCATTATGATTCTTCATTCAGAATTTTGGTAAAAGCCGTAAATTATTTACCTTAGTCTCTAAATCCTTCAATGAGGTTAATATGTCATTAGATATTTAATATTGAAGATTACGCATAGAGAGATTTGTCCAAGATAATGATAAGTAGAGACGACTTTGTCATTTTCTTTAGTCATTAATTATGCGATTTTACTTTCTTGTTGAAATTAAATTTGACTAATATTTTTGACGTATTTTTTTCATAAAATACTTGATTTTTATAAAGATTCGAATCATAATCTTTTTCTTGCTTGACTGGCAGTAGAGTCACTCTATTAACAAATAATTTGTATTTTAATATTTTCATTAGTTCTTTTCATGATTGTAGTTTTTCTAGTGAAAGTTTACTTATTTAAGATCATTTAGTTCCATTTCTTTCAAATGATTACTCAGTTTTTATATGAATTTCCCTTAAACCCTTTTCTATTGGAATGTTGAGAGGAAGACCTACCAGTGGTCATATTTTTTCTCTCCTCCCTTTTTTTTCCTATTTTCGGTTTATTGTTAATCATTCATTTTTCTTAGCTTTTTCCATTTTTGGTAGATTATTTTTTAGGTCTTGATTCATTTACCAATAGTGAATGTGAGCACACATCAAATTTGGAAGATCTAGAACTCAAGCACGTTGTGGAAGATTTAAAGTGTGAAGAAGACTATTTTACTTTTTTATTCTGTATTATTTATTTTTATTTAAATAAATAATTCAGATTGAAATTTTGATATTGAAATTGACTATCATCTTTATGGACAGCCAAAATTCCCCAAATTTAATTTTAATTCATATTTTTAATTCGTTTTATAAATATTTTAAATCGAATATTTTTGATAACAATGATAAAAAAAAAATTGCGTCATTGCTGAGATGATTGTGATGAATAAAATATTATTGCTTGTTAGTTCTTCGACTTGATTAGACACTAGTTACTCTTTTCTTCTTTCCTTGAAGTAAAAAAATAAAATTAACGGAGCTCAAGATGGGAGGACCCAAAGGAAGAGAAAAGTTTGGGGATTGAACAAAACAACTTGGGTGAGTGATTACAATCTCTCTTTTTTTAATTTATATTTTAAAGATTTATTCTTGCTCATTTTTTAAAAAATGGGTACTTGAATTTTATATTGTGTTATTTGACATTTTTAGTTTCTTATAATTACTTTTCTTTCCATTATTTATGCATTTTCCTTAATTGATATTAAAAAAATATTAGTTACTTCCATTTAAAAAGTATTTACATTTTCTCTGTTGCAATTTGCTTATGGCACTTACCTTCTTTAGTTTCTTTAGTTTCTTATTTGAAATTTTTTGAATTTATATGGACTGCATTTGGAGAGATCAAAGTGTACGCAGGGGAAAGCGCATGCAATTGGTAATTTGTACTTGCTTGGTATATCTATAGAGGAGAAAACTACTCTCAAGGTTCCCCTTTCAAATAGCAATTTTCGAGAATTTTATTCTTACTGTTTTTAAATGATTTATCATTGTGAAACAACAAGTGTCAAACTTCTTTCTATGTCCCGACTCGATATTGATTCTTATGCAGCTTGGGACTACATAGTGCCCGTTTCCCATTCCATATTTCTGATATCTACAGTTTGGACCTTGTTGTAGACCCTCGTGCAAACCAATTTATCCGCCTAAGTCAAATATCAATAGTTCTGACAAAAGTGTTGACCACTGTGAAATCAGCATTGTTTTTACCTAGTCTAGGATTATCTCCTGAACTTACGACGCTTTATTTTTTTCATGCTCTTCATATGTAGGTTTGCGAAGGGCCGTAGGTCTCCTCGAGGGGAGAACGCTGAACAGCAAAGAGGAAGGACATGTGTTGGTCGATGCACGGCGGTGAGCTGGGTTCACGTAGGAAGTGCGGACCCGCTGTACTTCATTATGCAGATGGGAGAAGTTAGCTGCGGGCTTGTTGGCCTTAGTGAAGAAGTTAGCTGCGCGCTTGTTAACCTTCATGCCCCAGTTTTTTTGTGGACTCCGTGGCCGTCGCCATAATGTAGCGGTTTCATAGGGTGATGCTGCTGAGAACAAAGGCCTGAGCAAACGGTTTTATAGATAAAGACGCTTTTGTAGTCTTTCTTCACTAGTCGGGTCAAGCTCGTCGGCCACCAGCTCGGCTCGCACATCCCCCGATTCCGATCAATGACATGCTCCGAGATGATTTAATGTCATAGTTGAACGACTTCATCGTAACTAACGGATTTCATGTCGTTTAGTCAAAGTTCATGCAAATTTATGTCAAAGTTCCCATATAATCTAACAGGTTTTTTGACCGTGGGAAGATTTATGTGACGATCTACGGCACCAACCAAGTTTAGTAAGGCGGTATAGAATCCAAGTTCGTCGCAAGCCGACGACGACGACCGGTAGGTGGTTTATTGGTTGAGAACATTTACGATGCTCGGTTCACAGCAACGCGGTTTGGCGCCTCGGGGCCTTTACATCCGATCCTCCTCCTCCGACCAGTTCTCCATCCGACACCTCCAATAACAACGAAAGAATTTACCCGAAAATGAATGCTACGAAGGAAGCCCCATGAACGGTCATAACCTAGATCAGAAGCCACGGCACGGTCGTCGCCATCCACTGCCGACCAACTTGGTTTCAACATAAAAGGGTCGTAACCCAGATGCGACATAACGGTCGTCGTGGCCCACAGATGACTCTCCCGAATTCACTACTGGCTCCAGAGACCGCCAACGAAGATGATAAGACGTGATGCTCAACAGGTCGTCGGGCCAGTTGAGCCTCACCGCCGGCATCCTCACAGCGTCAAATTCGAGGGGGGTCCCGCACCTTTGACGGCATGGCATCCCCCGTCTTTATAATGAACAGCGGGACTGCGCTTTCTACATAAACGCAGCTCACGGCCTCCATCGATCAACACAAGTCCTTCCTCCTTCGTGTTCATCGTTCTCCCGGTGAGAAAACCTCCGACGGCCCTCCGAAAGCCTACACCCGTCGTCACGACAAGTAGACATGGCATCTGTCGTAGTGATGTGGGAAGAGTTGGTGGTTATGGCGTTGGCGAGGGTGGACAAGAACAACTTTCTGAGGTACTTGCCCAAGGTGTGCCTCACCAAGCTCAGCGCCGAGGAGGATCCTCTCGCCGATATCGAGACGTTGGACGGCCCCGGCCCTTGGGACCGAACCTTGCTGGAAGTCGAAGTGGAGAATCCCAAGGCCCCAACGAGTGACGGCGAAGCGGCTCGGAACCGGATGCTCCTCTTCTCCGCCAACGACTACCTCAACCTCAGTACCCATCCGGCCGTCCGCAAGGCGTCGGCCAAGGTAGGCTTTCGAGCTCGATCCTGGTGTAGGTATTATATTGTCCGTCACGAATCGCGGTAGTCGGTGGCCGATTCTATACACAAATATGGAACAGGCGTCTCTGGCGTTCGGGATGGGTCCGCGATCGTCCGCTTTGGTCAGTAGCCACACCGAGTACCACCGGCGGCTGGAGAATGTCCTGGCGGAGATGCACAAGAAGGAGGCCTGTGTCGTGACTCCCACCGGATTCGCCGCAAACACGGCCTTCCTGTCGGCGCTCGGAGGCATCGCCACTCATAACGCGGCCTCGAGGAGGCCGGCGGAGCAAGAGAAGATCGCCGTGTTCTCCGACGCCTTGAATCACGCATCCATAATCGACGGCCTCCGGATGATGGAGCGGCATCAGCAAGCCGTCGTGTCCGTGTACAGGCCCAGCGACATGCAGCATCTGGACGAGCTCATCTCAAACTGCCCTCTCGAGAGGAAGGTAGTTATCACGGACAGGTAACACAGACTGAATTGATAAGACAAGAACGATCTCCGTTCGATAACAACTTCTTGCTGGTCCTGTGAAACTTCCGTGCTCAGAAGCCTCCTCATTTCTTTTCATGGCGCAGTTTGTTCAGCATGGAAGGGGACTTCGCGCCGATGCTCGACCTCGTGCAACTCCGGAAGAAGCACCGGTTCCTATTCGTCATTGATGAAGTGAGTCGTCCACTTTGTCTTGACTCGGCGTCGGAGCAGTCTTCTTTACTGTCTCCCTCCCTCGATCCGGATTGACCATCGCCACGTTACAGGCGCATACGGCATTTGTGTGCGGGAGGAATGGCGGCGGTATCGGAGAGGTTTACGGCATCGAAGATCAGATCGACATCATCGTCGGGACGCTGAGCAAGGCCGGGGGATGCCTGGGTGGGTTCGTGGCCTGCAGCAGGAAATGGTCGGACCTGGTCCGGGGGCTGGGCCGTCCCTATATTTTCTCCACCGCTTCCCCGTTACCCGTTATCGTCGCCGCCTACGGTACTGTTTACAGCATCCGTTCGATCTGCCACTAGTGGGCCATTTTTCTTCTTCAGATAGACTTCACCACATGATTCTCACCACTGCCATGCGTGGTATATTTAACACGATTTCGCTCTCCGCGTGGATCCCGTGCAGCTGCTGTGACGGTGGCCAAGGAGGGGTGACGCAGGCAGGCAGTGTGGGACCGAGCCCAAGAATTCGCGGCAATGACGAAGCACCCCGCGACCAGCCCCATCTTGTCTCTGGTGGTCGGCTCCGAGGATGCGGCTATCTATGCAAGCAAGCACATGATGGAGCGAGGCTTCCACGTCATCGCCATTAGGCCGCCGGCAGTCGCCCCAAACGCCTGCCGGTGAGTTCTCACCCTCCTCTCTGGCTATCCTTCCAACCGCACGGCCTTCTTCCCATGGGTTTACGCTGATGAATCGTTTCATATTCCAGGCTTAGGGTTACGCTCACTAGCGCGCATACCTCGGAGGACCTCAGAAGGCTCGTATCCGCACTCTCCGAGTGCATCCCCGGGCTCAACCGCCCGGTAGATCAAATTGCCGCAAGGGTTTGATCATGGAATTTGGTCAACGCTCCAGTTCAACCCCGCCTGTCACCCGTTCCGCAGATGAGGAAGCCGAAACGATCTATAGATGGATGCCGAAGTTTTATACACGGTGCAGTTGTCGTCAGGTGCTTTGGTCGGCTGTTTCGAGAATTCACTCGACGGACGCGGACCAAAGCATTGCTTGCAGATATTCGTTCGTTTCAATTACCATACTGTTGTGAGGCCAATGCATAGATACATCGAAATGTACTTCGTGTCTTATTATTTGATTTAGCGGACATTTCATGACTCCAGAACTTCATTCCCAATCACAAAGGCGGATTAGCCTCCGCTGCCGTGTCTCTCGGAAGTGGCGTAACGTGCCTACGGTTCATCGAACCACTGACCCATAAGTACACGTTCTGCATAGTTCAGATATCAAAAGCTGATGAAACTGAATATCATCTTCCTAGACCTGAGAGGACATCTCTTTTCGTTTGTAGTTGCTATCTAGACGGGACTATTTTCCAGGGCATGCTATTAATCTACCGGCGCTTCGCATCCCCCGCTGATACAATAGGGTTTTCTAAAACCCGCGGTTTTGCACCATTCGTGCGTCCCAAACCGCTGTCATATATTGGATTCACTCTTATATTCATTGGCTCGGTATCTGCATTGTCACTTTTTTGGCATCGCCTTGCTTCTATAGTAGAAAGTGCTCACATTAGATTCGCGTGCTTTTCGGAAACTCATCAAGTTGCGTATTGGTGGTAGTCGTTCGGTGGGATGGCATGGGCCGATCACCAGTGGAGTTCTTTCCCTGTTCCGTAAAATTGAGTTCTAATGATGGCAGGCGGTCCTAAGGAATTCGAATAGCGGATGTGAGAAATTGAGTTATGAAGAAATGGATATTCAACTCATGAGGTTTAATTAACTATAGGACGAGTGGACAGCCAATGTAGTGCAGAGGGTGTGAGTAGGGTTAATCTTGTTTATCACTGATGAGTGATTCAGATTTGACATGTTGTCTTCTAATTTAGAGAAATTTGTAATTAGAGGTCTGATTTTGGACTATCTGCCGTTGAATTGCAACACAGGTTACTAATGCTATGTAGACCACCGAGTATGCAATTAGAGTAAGTTATTTATTTAAGAGAATTAGATTAACTATTTTAATTCACTACGATGCATAAAAATAGTCAGGTGATTTTAAACAAAATAGAAACCATGCAAGAGAATCACACAAAGACTTTAGAGCATTTTTGCCTCCATTGTTCACTTGGTGTCCCAAGAGCCACACTCATTGGGTCTTAAGTGATCTTCTAGAAAGATTCATCTGGGTACTCATAGCCCAATGAACTAAATAAGCTATTGCTCCACTACTTGTGTTACCGGATCTGACCTATCAAACAACATTTAAGAAACTACCATTCATGCACCAATTTTATTAACTTAGGGCTATCAAACAGAAAGCACAATGCTGCTAAGGTTGTATTGACTTTACTAGCTCTGGCCTATTGATCCACACTTCGGTTGTTGCTATAAAATGTGTCAAATTTAAAATTTACAAACTGATTTATTTAAAAGATATAATTTAGAATCAAATGGTGAAAATAGGTCGATCCACAAAGAAGAATGAAAAAAATCAAATGTCGATTTGATTATTTAAAAGTTGATGTAAATATAAAATAATAGAAAGAAAAAAATAGTTGAATAATATGGGCTAATTTGATATTTTCATAGTTTTATATTTATGTATATATATTTATATATTTTTATTAGATGTATATATATATTTGAATTTAATAAGATCTTTATATTTATTTTTCACTTTTTATGTAAATAAAATATAAAAAACTTAAAATACCAACATGAAGACTTATTGGGCCAGTAGGACATGTGACCCAATAAGAAAGAAAAATTCAAAGAGAGTGGAAACAAGTGACATAAGCTCTAACGTCAGGGAGGATGCCAATGGGCATAGTTTGTTAACAAAATACAAATACAAAGATTTATAGGAATTCAGCTCGTGAAAACTCTCATATGGAATCCAAAAACACAAACCCTACTTGATTACATGACTGAAATAAGTGAAAATAGTGAAAATTAATAATTAAACTTAGTTCTAGGATGTGGCTTGATCAATTACTAGCATTCTCACAAAGAGGCCAAGAGCCAAGGTTTCTGCTCCATAGGTTGAGACCTCCCTAGGACTCTACTTTGTGTCACATGGATCATCAGTCTGTAGCTTGAACACATCTCATGCCACTGCTGTCATTGGCGTGAGCATCACTACCATCATGCCAAACTCCTTTGCTGCTTGTCACATGGAAGGGATTCACAACACCACCATCAACATGAGTGCCACTGTTGTCACTGTTGTTGCCATCAGCTCCCCTCCCTATAACGCCAAAAGAAACTCATTGATGCCATCACTATCATTGTGAACGTCACTATCACCATGCTTGGCTACTTGTTCTATTCTAACTTGAGGGTCATCTCCCAAAGGTTGCCGCCTCAAATCTCCATTTATCTCAAACGTTTTGATTTTCAGCACTTATTTCACATAAAATACTAGCATCATATTAAAAACATGCAGAGAAAATTCAAATAAAACTCAAATGAAACTCAGATTAAATATGGGGCATCATATTAAAAAAGATTTGAAATTTTAATTCAGTGATAAAAGGAAATCTTATGCATGTAAGTGACACAAACTAGTGTGAAATTTATTTTAATGAGTCAAATCATATTTTTCCTAAATTAGTTTCCTAAGAATGCACCTTTTTATGAATTAATGCAATAATTATAAAGATATAATGTGAATTAACACATAAAAATATAGTATTATCAGACCCCCTAACTTAAACATTACTAATCCCTTAACAATAAGTATAGAAAAAATAAGCCAAGGCTAACAATGTGCTTCAAAGAAGATTGATTTTTTAGTCAAAACACTTAACTTAAGCATGCATCATATTTCTATGGTGAGTTGCAAGAGTGAATGTTTTTCTTCATTGAGTGAATACTATAGACATAATCTCCATCACCATTACATACAATATGTACTTACCCATATACCATATGAAATTAGATAAATAAATCCATTGTCTAACAACTTAAGAACTTACTTTTTAACTACTTTCATTATGTTTGGATCAAATCTATGTTGTCGTTTGCTACTGATTTTAGTACCCTCATTCAAGTAAATATGATGTTTGCAGACACATATCTATGCTTTCAGGTTAGATATTTCTTATTTAATAGATTTCTTATGAGTTTTAAATTATTCAATGATTTTAATTTTTTGTTCTTTATTAAGATCAAATGCTATTATGACTACGTGTGTGATTCTCTCCTAAAAAGACATTTTAAACTTTGAGGAAGAGGTTTGAGTTATAATGAGTGATCAGTCATACTTTGTTTTGCTAACTCCTTCCTAGATGTCTCCAACTACGTCCACATTCTAGGATTTAAAATTGTCTAGACTTTTCTGCACACAACTGTCTATAATGTCAACTTCATTAGTTTCCTCCATATCACATAACTTCATGAGGTTCAGTATGTGACAGCCTACTTCTTGCATATCTTGTGAGGTTATACATCTTTAAATATCTTTATTTCCACTGTTTGCTCCCCAAAAGAAATTTTAGTAATTTTAGTGAGGTTAATATTCATCTTGATAGTGTTTAAAAATGATCTCCTCAAGATAATGAATGCCTCACTTAGTTCACTTAGGGATTCCATTTTAAACACTAAAAAGTCAGTAAGAAATTTACAACCTTTTACTAAGACTACCCCATCTTCTAATATGCCTTTTGGGTCTTTCATTAAACAGTCATCAAATTATAAAGTAATAGATGAAGGTGTCAAGTTAGATATATTCAAATAATCACATATGGTAGTAGGTAATAAATTAATAATAGCACCTAAATCTAATAAAATATTATGAAATATGACCTAGCCAATATCATATGAAATTAAAGGTGCACTATGATCCTTTAATTTTTTAGGTAATTGATTCAATAGCAAAGCCCTTGTATGTGCATAAAGTTTTTCTATCTAAATGCTCTTCTTGGCATACATAATTTTTTTAAAAAAATAGCATAAGCAAGAATTATGTTCTATTACTATAAATACTGGGATATTGATATTTACATCTTACAAGATCTTCATTAATTCTTCATTAGATGTTATTTACTTCTGCTGAGATTTTAATACTTTTGGAAAGGGAAAGAGTCTTTGTTCTAATGGTAATTTTTCTGTCTTCCTCTTATATACAATTTATGTTTATTCATCATCTAGTTTGTTTCTCATTTCTAGTTCATCTACATTTTCTAATGATGTCTTATATTGATAGTTGTCAATGATGGTGCGACCACTTCTATAGACTCGATCAATAGAAAATGGATACTAAAAGTGCTTCATTCTGCTCTTCATTTACTTGAGTCATCAATGTCTAGACACTTTGAAATTATTTTATTTACTATATAATATAAAGATAAAAAGAAGAGAGGTGAAAATGCAATGACTTGATGGAATGAGAACAAATGTAATGGAATTCAAGCATCATCTCATGTATATCCTTAAAAATTAATACCTCATGATGAGTTGGGTGCCTCCTTTGATCTGAAGATATCTAAGTTTCCTTCATCTATTAGTGTATTGATTGAGACGGGTACACAGACTTGAAAGAAGTTGTGCTAGAGCTGTCCTCTAGATGTTCCTTTTAGTTGTATCAGAAAGCCATTTTGGAAAAGAATTTTCTCACTAATATAATTATGAATCAAGTCTTCTTGATCATACTTTAACTTCTTACGGTTGATAGTAATATCAGGCTTAACAATATAGTCAACTAATTGTGCTTGATGAGGAACCCCCTCCCCTTATCTTGGCTCTTAGAAAAACCATGACAGTTACAGCATATATTTTGTTTAACCTAATATGAGGGACTAAATGAAAGAAATATTAAATGATATTTGTGGAGAAACGTTGCTTGACTTTGGGTTGCCAACGATGAGTGCTTCCATTTGTATTGTAGGCTTAGATTGTCAAGTTTTGAAAATAATAGGAAGAGGAATTTTTAGATTTTCTACTTGTAACTGAAGGGAAAAAACTAGCCATTGAACTTCTTCATCTTATCCTAGGCATAATTCTTGGGCCTACCCTTTTACTTTGGTGTCAGGAGTTTCTCCAATGGTATTTAATTATAGCTAGTCAACTTTGTTGCTACCAACTCCTTTAATACTTAAATACTTGCTTGATGTCATTCTAATAGTTAATGAACTTGTCCACCTTCATGGGAGACAGAAAATAGAGGAAACTAAAGAGTATAACTTAACAAAGTTGGTAGTAGTACGTGACTACAGAATATCAGGGACGATCTTTGCGCGGCGTCGATCCCTGGATAATTGGACCATCCATCCACGGCAACCAGAAAATCAGGGACGGACAGGTACGGACAGTGAAGAAGAAGAAGAAGAGGATGATGACGATGAGGCGTACCTTCCTCAAACCCCGCCATGTTGCCGCAGCTCCCTTCCGCCGTTGCCGCTTCCTTCTCCCGCTCTCCAGCAACAGATCAGTAAGGCTGGAGGAAAAGTGCCGCCTGCTGGTGCTGGCCGGAGGAGAGGTACTGGAGGTTGTGGACGGCGGCGATCCAGACAGAAATCCAAACCGAAGAGTAATATTGGGACAGAAATCGGATCCAGTGGGTATCTCCACCTGTTCAGATCCGAACCTCGAGTTAACAAGGGATCACTTCGCCCTTTTTATGGGGCGATTTTTTTTTTTTAATATTTCGACGTTGATTTCAAGAATAAATTATCCACTAACATTTTAGACTTTCGAGTCTCCTGGGCCCACATACCCAACCTTCCTTAATGGGCCGAAACTGAATATAATTTGAGAAGAAGACAATCTCACGTTCAACCCCACTTATAGAGATATTTGCATATCAATTATTATAGATAATTTTTTATAGAAAAAATGAATTATTATATCTTTTCTATAGTATATGATTGATAAAAATCTAGTGCATCTTTAAGTTAATAATTTCATTGTTTATAATCTTTAGTATATATTTTTTTAATATACTATTAATTACCATATATATTTAAGACAATTTTACTTTCATGCACCCAAAAAAGCTTAAACAATGTCTTAGTGTGAACTTGCTTCAAGCATGAAAGAAAGCATTAACTAGAATCAGCTAGTATTCAAGCTTGTCACATAGAAGAAATATAATACTTTTTGAGGTAAAAGAATGTCTTATAGTCTGTTTTCAAGAGTTCCTAGAGATTTGATTATAGCACATGAAAATGTTATAAGAACCAAGTGAATAATAATTATTTGGGTAGCGAGGCCAATTAGGATGTAAGTATGCAAGAAGGAGAGTAGGTGTGGATGGATGGATAAGAAAACTAATTTACATGTGAGCTTTAGATGGTTTAAGATATCATTAAAATATGACTAGCTCTCCACACTTAAACTAGATGGATAGATGATAATTAAAATATTTTATTAAGAAAAAATACAAGGTCAAGTAGGTACTAAATATTAATGTTGTAGAGTAAGAATAGCATTATACTTAGAAGAGTTAAAGTGGCCTTTAAGGTATGAATAAGTATACAGCTTCAACACTCAAGAAGAGTCATAACTAATGGAAAACTAGCCGAGTGGTATCCATAGTTCATCTTGAAAAGGCACTAATGTGAAGGGGAATATACTATACTATGATTTACAAGTTATATTTTAAGTATTTCACCCATGAACACAATAAAAAGGCCATTAAAATTTGATAATCATTGATCAAGTGGAGTTTAATAACTTTTAAAACATAAATAACTTAAGCATGCCTTGGAATTTATTTTTGGGAAAGTCCTCTTGAATTCAAGTTGCCAATTGTTTCTGTGTTTTCTTTTAGATTTCATTATTTTGATAGTTTTAGATCTTCCTATCCTTTAGATTAATACTAAACAAATGGGATTGTGTTAGGATTTGTCTTGTCTTGTCTTTTCTTGTCACAAATGGGCTTGTGTTAGGATTATATAGTCATTTTTATGTTTTATAAACTATGAAAAAAAAGTAAGATTTTTGGTGATATAATAGTTGGAAAATATTTTTAAGAACAAGGGGAGAACAAGTGCTTGAAAGAAACCAGGTAAGACCATGATATGGTTCAATAATTTAAAGATCATCAAGTTATATAATAATATATTTTTTTTCTCTTTAGTTTAGATACCAAATTAGGTTTCATATGTTAGTGTGGAGTGAAGCTTAAAACAATACTTGGTTCTTAAAAATAAGAGAGTTGGTATGATTGATCCAAAGAGTGTAATCATCTACTTCATGTCTTAGAATATGGCATATTGAATAAATAGAGTATGGTATATACAATGAAAATACTTATGTAGATCATGTCTTAGTGGCAACGACTTTCATTAAATTTTTAGCTAGCATTATTTTTTTGGCTTGATTAACTGTTCTACTAGACATAATAAGAAGTTTGTGGTTATGTTGGATAAAATGTGTTGTACTTTTCATAAGTAACATGTAAAAAAGAGAAATTTTAATTTATATCATTTAATCATTTAAGTGGGCCTTCAATCAGGCTAGTTTGCAATTACTTAAAAAGTAAGAAAGATGGGAAGTAGTAGATCAACGCACTTAAAATCTTGATATTGATAATTGAACATGCCAACAAGCTAATAATAGCAATTTCTTCTAGTATCAAATGTTTGGAGTCAATGAGTTGATTTATGAGGCTTCTGATGTCATAAATGTTAGAATGTTGAGTGATATAGTTTTAGATCTGTGCTACATGAGAAGAGTGCAAATAAAAACTATTATATTCATGTGAGATGTAGTCAAATGTTATCATACAAATTATACATGACATTAGTATGTGTCATATTTTGTCTAGCAATGTAGGGAGAAAATGGTGGACAACAACTACGCTAATTTCAATTGATTTTGATGTTCTTAATGAAGGTACAAGAGCTTAATTTCATTCAATCTTAGGCCAAAGCAGGAAGAATATAATGATGAAAACAAAAATGATTGTATCCAATTACTCTAATTCCATGATAGAAAATATAGAAAACAAAGGAGTGGGAAAAGTAGAGTTTAGTCAATGAGAATGGTATAGAGGTCATAGAATAATAATTTGTCTCTAACGCTGAGAAGAAGAGATGAATTCATTCTCCATCATATTTTACATAAAATTTTTACATATGAATAAATACTAGTAGTATACAATAGTGACACTAAGATGAGTTCTTATATTTTTTATCATTAGAGTGTCTATTTTAATATAAGGCATGAATTCAAATCAGAAAGTGGCATCTAGAATATTTAGATTTAGTTTCCTTAGATCTAGTTTGAGTTACTATAGACTGATGGTAATCATCTTGATTATAGACTCTCTATTTGTTCTTGATACTTGCATATTGCCAATGTAATTAGGGAGCTCCTGCATAAGATTCCCTCCTTTGAGAGTTGTGTTAGAGTCTTAGAGTGGCTCTCCTGGTTTAAGGGATAGCCTTGGTTTGCCCTTGGGCTATGTTGTGAACAAAAATGTAATGATATCATGGGAACAGAGAACGAATAAGCTAAAATGACAGATGAAAAGAAAAGAAGGTCATTGTCTGCCAGTTATAGGAAAAACTTATAGTGAATTCTTAGAGAAAATTATTGCCAGAAATTATGGCATTTATTTAATTTTCACCTTCCATTAAAATGGTAGACGGACAACCATTTTCAGATGTATGAAGTTTTAAAAGACATTCGTTTCATTAATGCCTTCATATAATCATCTTGACTAATTGGAACCTCGCTCCCCATCGTGTTGAACACAATTGCACATCCAATGCCATGTGGTTGGGACAACTCTCTCTATTGGCCCCCTTTCATGTCTCTCGTCCCATGTTGATCTTTCGAATATCTTAAAGTTCGAATGGATAAGAAAGGGACTTCTCAGTAGTAATCTTGGTTTGCACGGAGTACCCTTTAATTTTTACGAAATACTTGCGTGATTTCATTTAATGTAGATAATTGTACTAGTGGTTGACTCTGGCTCCAAGTGGTGCCGTTCCGGCCATCAAACTAGAAATCTTATTTTTTTCGGTGCGCTCTACGATCTTGACTAGGTATTGTTGGAATTAGTACCCAACAAGTATATCGCGTCAGGACTACGTGACCCGTCTGAACAAGCACCCATTTCTTCGTCATCTGGTCTAGACTGCGGCTCGCGTAGCGGACCCGCCGTATGGCCTCTTTACTGCTTTCCGGTGGGTCGGGCGAGGATAGCACCGCCCATTCGTCGCTGTCGCGGGGGGGATTCCGCGTCCGCCCATGGATGGGAGAGCTTGTGTGGGCCGGGTGACGCTACCGACAACTGAACCGGTCGGCGGACGCCAGTCACAGAGGGCCCTTTGATCTTCCCGTCCCTTGTTCTTGGTTAAGTTCCACGCATCTGGAATGTTCTCTCCCTCTCTCTCTCTCTCACTCTATCCCCCACGGGAGGGCCGTGTATACGGACAGTTTCGATGTAGATGGATAGAATCAGATATCATTCTTGGTACCTTGACCTTGAAATTAAGTAGCCCGAAAAGAAAAAGAGGAGATATACATATATATATGTCTATCGAGAGAGAGAAAGTTAATTTGGGTATGTGCACTAAAACGCCAAAACTGTCCCCATGAAAAGGGGAAAGGCCGGAGTTTTGAGGACAGCTCTTGTCAAAGAGGACTACTGTGCCGGGCACTGTGCTAGAAGCCATCGTTTCACGCGGCGAGATCAAGCCCAAGATCCTTACCCAACCCATCTCTGTCCACGTCGTTCATTCTGATGAGACCGCACCCTTTGGGCGGCTCCTTCCCCCCCGGGTGGATGCCGCTCCACATCGCGCTGTGCCCCCGGCTGTGGCTGCTGCTGCTGCTACTGCTGTGGCTATGGTGAACTGGCTCAAATCCCAGCGTCAATTCCAGTTCCACATCGCTATCCTCCGCGGCCTCGCGCCCTACTTTCCCCCTCTCTGTCTCGTGGCAAGTCACCAAGGACTCCTCGACCGTCTCCACAGAGAGCATAGCTTCGTTCTCCCTGCAATCATCATCGTCGGTGGAGTTGCGGTCGGAACCCCAGCTGGTGGACGACTGGGGGCGCGTCAGGCTGTAAAAGTCCTTGGGGGACAGGAGTCGGCGCTTCACCGAACGCTTGAAGGGCGTCCGTGAGTCCTTGTTCACCTTGTTGATCTCTTTGACGGCGACGGCGGCGTCCTCCTTGGAAACGTGACGGATGTTGGACGAGAATGCCTTCTGTAGAGGGGGAATCGGGGCGCCCGCAGGGCTATCAGCAGGGATTTGCATGATGGGGCGGCCCTTGAGCACTGCCTCGACGGCGGCCTGGCAGAGCTGCCAGCTTCCTGTCCAGAGAAGCCCGATGGAGCCGTAGATCGGGTTCACCATCCTCCCACATGCCTCGTACAACAGCGACCGGAAGATGGCTGCAACATCATAGCTATCCGTCAGAAAACCTGCTCGAATCAGAGCCGTGGTGGGGGTGTTCTAATTGTCTCACTCGCATCACTTACCCGGGCGGAGGTGGTCGGGGCCGGTGTTGATCAGATTCATGAGTCCAGCGCGGCCGTAGAACTTGGCGAGGAAGACGGTGGCGTTGGCTTGCCACTCGGGGTTCTTGATCCACTGCAGACATGGCCGGATGCTGCAGTCGTCGCTGCAGCCCTTGCGGAGCACTCGACAACCATTACAGCTCATCCTCATGTCGCCCGCGAACTTCTTCTACCAGTGGAGTTGGACCAGAGAGAGGGAGAGAGAGAGAGAGAGAGGCGACCGGCAAAGGGGGGAGAAATACCATGGATGTTCGAGACGGATGGGGTCGTATTTAAACGAGCGACGGCCGTAGAATCCCGAGAAAGACTGCTGAAAAGTCGCCACCGGTTTAGAATCGTCGGAGAGCGGAATTGCACCGACGACGGAACCGGAGTCCCCACCGAAAAACACCCCATGAGAGTGGATATTCACGCAAGGAATGTCCCCCTAATTAATCTGCCGGAACCATCGAACCATATGCCACCTCGGAGGACTTCGTGATGGACTCTTCGAGGATTTTCACGTGATTCGAGCGTGGAAACAAGCTCCATCCACGTGAAATCTATCTCCACCTAATGAGAAGAGGGCGCGTGGCACGTACCTGCTGTTGACTCGACGCATTTCCTCCGGAGAGAATGACCCACTACCCAGAGATCACTGAGCTCCTCTAGAGAGAGGAGAGAGGAGAGAGAGAGGAGAGAGAGGAGAGAGAGAGAGACTCCTGGTTTTGTGGAGGGTTGGCGGTTTTATCGTATGCATGAACCTGTGGGCGTGAGCGCCGACGGTTTTCCGGGCTCTGTCGAATTCGACTACGTGCGTCGCACCTCGCGACGTGTCGATCTCACCTCCGGCTTTCTGGGGAGAACTCCAGGGCTGACGTCACAGAGAAAGCGGCATCAATGTTAATAATTGCAAATATTTATTACTCAACAAAAAGGTTTCTAGAGCTACCTTCGCCCTAATTTACTTATTTTTCGCTCGGCAGAACTACCAACTAAATAAAAACCCAGAAAAAAAAACTCCAGGGAGCCTCTCTCTCTCTCTCTCTCTCGCGGTGCTCCTACATGGTGTTCATGTATGAGACACCGGGATGAGAGAAACCTCGAGGGATCATTGAATCAAGGGTAGGTTCCCACATGGACCCAGTCTACAGGCCTATAACATCTTGTCAACCACGTGCATAGTATTCTGAATCAGTTCGTTGACTTTTTGACCGTCATTAAATGCTTAAGCGACCCGGCGTTATCCCCCACCAAATATTGAATGAAGGTTGACCAATCCTACAATCACCTCTCGAGGGGATGAGCTCATTAAATATAACAGTGGGCTGGGCATTAGGTAAAGACCAGAAAATGTGTCTCGAGGTAGAGAGAGAGAGAGAGAGAGAGAGAGAGAGAGAGAGAGAGAGAGAGAGAGAGAGAGAGTCTTTGAATAAGCCGTGGTAAACACGTCAACTGGATGTTCCAGCTATGTCGGCACCTTCAGTAAGATTCCCAACCCTGTGTTTTCGGTGGTGCTGCATTTGTTTATTCTTGGAATATATTCACGCCGCTTGGGCTGCAGCTCATAAACTATCGCAAGACTTTGGGAAGCGCCAATTACCGACAAAGGGGGTTTAATCCTCATCCTACTGAAGTAAGTATCCAAGAACAAAGCATACAAGCGCGAGCTTCCAAAGAGTAAAATCTTTTGGTGAGGCAGCTGACCTCATTCAGAAGAACTAATCTGAAGCTTTACGGCGGAGGAGATTCTCCACATGAAGGGCGTTGACCTTGGCGGCGAGAATGAAGTCGTTCTCTGTTAGACCGCCTGCCAAAGGGGGAATAGCCCAAACCATCAAAGGCATAAAATCAAATACACTGTGCAAATGAACATCAAAGAGAGGCCGCCGATATGAATACTGGCCCAGGAGTAACTGGTGAAGAAAAGGAATGTAGTCGGTCCTTTTTTTTTTTGCCGAATAAGGTAAACCCATTAACATAGACTAATTCAGATTATTGATGAAGATTTTGCCACTGATTTTGCTGATGAAGATCACAATTTAAATCCACGGGATGTGCTCTCAAATAAATATGAATTCACCAAGAAATGGAGCTCAAACTATGTGCTTCGGGATGCTCTCACAATAACTTTCTAAAACTCAAACCCATTAACATAAACCGTCAATCAAGCATCTGCATCGAGCTCATCTCTTCCTCTTCATCCTTTCCAGTACTTCCCAAAAGGCTGTCTGGACTTTTAGCCATTTCAGTGGAAGGTAGGGCAAACCAGGGAAACAATATCCTATCCCACAGAAAAGCTTGGTCGGACGCTGATGAGATTGAAGCATGGTCGAATTAGTCACCTTCCTCCCACATAAATGTAGCCTTCAGATCTCGTTAGGAGCCCTAGATGGGCTCTTTCAATCCCAAAAGCAAGATCAGTCTGAACTTTGATTTTGTTTCCTGTTTTGGGTCGGTAGGAGACAGAGCTATAGGATTTCAGAAACATCACAAGAACGTGAACAAAAAATTGTACCATCTAATCTCTCGCTCTTCATAGAGTAGATTGGGCCGTCTACCGTCAATAGATCGCCATATCTGGTATATTTTTAGTAGACTCGGTTGTCAGACAAAGAGGCCTGACACATCAAATTATTTTAGTCTCTTAGTTTCGTCACTTGATCTCATTGACTTGAGTCCAATAATTTGGACCAAGAAATAGGCAAACCATGCAAAAGAAATGAATTCATTAACGACATCAATATAGTCAACAAATAAATGGATTCCTGAACGATCAGCGGACAGTTTAAAAGAGAATGCATACCGACAGAGTGCGTCCATAAATCAATCTTCACATTGTTCCAGCACACGAGATGGAGATCAGGATGATGTCCTGGGAAATATGAGGACCATCGAATCAATGCTCTATGGCAAATTCTCGTCATTAAACAAAATAAAATTTCATCCACAATCCATCCTAGAATATCTCAGCCATGTAGGAAACAGGAAACAATAATATTTTCTTTCCTAGAAATAAATAGTAAGAAGGACATATGATGTAGCCTCGCTCAACAACAATGATCATGAACATCGATGTCTCCAGGAGTTTATCCAAAATTTCGTATATTTCAGCATTTATTAGATTTCTTATAAATAATTATTCCATTAATTGATTTAAAGTACGTCCCTCTGAACTTTAACAGATCTTCCTCTTCCCCGCTTAGCCACATAAGTCAATCCAGCTGACTCCATCTTACACAAATCTGAGGCATTGAGAACCAGATTTAATGCCTCACACATTTCAAAGAATGTCTGGGCATTCAGATGTTTTCCTCATTGACAATATGAACTGTAATGAAACACTCATCCTGACTCACCACAACGAATGCCAATATCATTCGCAAAAAACTTAAATTCCACAAACAAAATGCATAATAAGTTCGTCTTCTATGTATTCAGAAGATACAATTATAAGATGGATGATAAATAAGCCAAAAAAAAACTCAAAAAATAATGCCCGTTTGCTTACTGACATAAGTGTATATTTTCAATAAGTTCCAGTCCCAGAAGAATAATACACAGAAAGCCGAATCGATTCCATAGAAAAATTCCCAAGCATAAAAAATTAAATGGAACCGCAGAAAAATTGTCATTCTTAGAAAAATCATATTTCCCAGTTACAGAAACCGTAATCACATTTAGGAGCACTAATTTATGATTTTAGAAGAAAATATGAAGATGCCTGTTAAAAGGAAAGACCTTCTGCTTCAGCAACTTCAGCAACTAGCTGGAAGAACTCTAGAGCTTTCATGAAACTCTTTGCTTTCCATGATCGCTGAAGTTTCAGCTTTCCACCTTCGCTTACTAGATCCCATCCATGTATCTGCTCTCGTAACATCAGAAAGAAAACAACATCATATCAATGCATGACTACTATATTGTATGCAGAAGTCCAGGAATTGTTAGGTCGCCACGAAGGTATACCCCAAGCTCAGACTTCTCCAGCAATTCCTTTGCAGAATGCTCAGACATGGCCCAAATATCCTTCGAACTGCAGGGTACACACTGTCTGGCAGCCAAATCTGATATAAACCGACAGTCAGCAAGTCTCAAGAAACAATTTGCTAGTTTCTGGCAGCGAGGCAGCAAAAAAATCGATACGAAATATCACTGGAGATAATCCAAAACAAAGAAGCTTTTATTTTTCGTTTGTCCTTCAGGCGACAATTAGGAGCCACAGTCGATCATCAGAATGGGCCCGCATGTTTCATCATTCCAAAGAAGGTGCTTTGGAAATTCCCCAGTCAAGAAGGCAGAGAAAGCAAAAAAAATGGATATGAAAATAACCCTTCTTGGCGTGTGGCTCTTCCTCGAATAAAATTAGCATCCTACATGAAGCACAATAATCGGACCATCATCCACGTCTCCTCAACACAGGATAGAAGGTTATCATTAGTGATGACTAAAATTCACCAAAGAAACGGCACCTGATTTTAAACTCCCTGGGCAGCTATTCAGGCCTCAATAGAGGGGCAGAAGACGATTCTAGATAAGCTGTTCTATCTCACTTCAGTCGCAAAACACTGACCGTCGATTAAGAAAAAACCGACAAGAGTGGGTGCCTCTTCGCACACGGAAGAGTTGTGAATGGCGGCAGGAACCAAGGAAAAGCCGGTAATGCTGCGATTTGATGAAATATCGTGCTCAAGCTTTACACTTTTAAAAAGGCCGGAAGAAAATAAAAATCGGGTATGAGAGGGGTAAGCCAGACGAATGGAGGGGAGGGAGGGAGGGAGGGAGAAAAATACCATCCATGCCTTCCACAGAAGCCTTCGAAGAGAATGATGAGGCGGTCAAGGTTCGAGTAGCCGGGGGGCGCGGCTGGTGCAGAGGATCCTAGTCCAATGGAAGACAGAGCGGACAGTGGAAAGGTCAGCAATCGACACGAAAGGGAGCAGAAAAGGCTCGAACAGGCCAGGTGAACTGATCCACCTTCGGCTCACGGCAAGGTCGAAGTCGATGGCGAAGCAGAGGAGCGATCGCAAGAGGTTGCAACCGCGCACAAGACCTCCTTACCGCGCTCATCTCTGTTTCATATCCGAAAGCTATCCAGGTGAGGGGAGATTCCACGGCCTTCGAGCAGCAGGAAGGCACGCTCCAAGCGGCGGCGGCGGCGAGCAGGCCACGCGTTGGCGCCATTCCCTCGTGGCAATCAGTCGGCCCAATATGAAAGTCCAATAGGCCTATTATGAAAATCTAATCGGCCCAGTATGCAAAGCCGATTATGACCTTGTTTCACACTGGGCCCCACAGAAGAATGTGTCAGCATTTGCTCTTAGGACCGGTGCGACGGATAAGTGAAGACATGGCCACAACAGGATTGAAGGGAGAGGCGGGAAAATCTGGCGGCCGATCCAGTTCTGTGGCGGGAGCAGTTCGCGGGCGTGCGACCAATGACAAGATCGACGGAGATAGCTCGGGATACGATCCCACATCCTACTCCTCCCCAGCTTCTCCCTAGTCTGCACGGGTATTTAAACGGAGGCACCAGGACGGTACGTCCTCACCTCGAACGCCAGAACTCATCCGCACACCCGCTTCACAACTCGCCTTCACCATCACAATGGCAGCCACCATGGCCCTCTCCTCACCTTCTTTCGCCGGGCAGGCGGTCAAGCTCGCCCCCGCCGCCCCGAGGTCCTCGGCGAGGGGAGGATTGTCGTGAACGGGGAGCCTTGCACGTCTTGCACGTCTTTTCGCGTAACGGCATAAGCCTTGCACGTCTCGAGGCACACCTGCCTAGAGCTGTAAGAGGTTGCTTATTGCTTACGGTTATTCCTTTTCCCCTTTTGTTGCTCCCTTATTTAAAGAGGGCTGTAAGAGGTTTTCAATGAGCGAGATAGTCTTCCTTGTTCCTCCTGCTGGGTTTTTCCTGTGACTCAGAAGGTGATCTCGCCGGCGACGTCTTAACTGCCGTCGTCTCTCCGGCGAGTTTCTAACAAGGATCTCCATGAGGAAGACCGCCGCCAAACCCAAGCCCGTCTCCTCCGGCAGCCCCTGGTATGGCCTCGACCGCGTCAAGTACCTGGGCCCCTTCTCCGGCGAGGCCCCCTCCTACCTCACCGGCGAGTTCCCCGGCGACTACGGCTGGGACACCGCCGGCCTCTCCGCCGACCCGGAAACCTTCGGCAAGAACCGGGAGCTGGAGGTCATCCACTCCCGCTGGGCCATGCTCGGCGCCCTGGGCTGCGTCTTCCCGGAGCTGCTTGCCCGCAACGGCGTCAAGTTCGGCAAGGCCGTGTGGTTCAAGGCGGGGTCCCAGATCTTCAGCGAGGGCGGCCTGGACTACCTGGGCAACCCCAGCCTGGTGCACGCCCAGAGCATCCTGGCCATCTGGGCCACACAGGTCATCCTCATGGGCGCGGTCGAAGGCTACCGCGTCGCCGGCGGGCCACTGGGCGAGATCACCGACCCGTGTACCCCGGCGGCAGCTTCGACCCGCTGGGTTTGGCTGACGATCCCGAGGCCTTTGCGGAGTTGAAGGTGAAGGAGATCAAGAACGGACGGCTGGCCATGTTCTCCATGTTCGGTTTCTTTGTTCAGGCGATCGTCACCGGGAAGGGTCCGCTGGAGAACCTGGCCGACCACCTGGCGGACCCCGTCAACAACAACGCCTGGGCCTACGCTACCAACTTCGTCCCCGGTAAGTGAGCCCGATGAGCCCTGAAATGGAGGCCAGCTCTCGAGGTTTCTGCCTGGGGTAGATGACGGGGTGGGTTTCTGAGGTTGTTCATGGTTGTAAACTATCTATCAGAAATGTTCCTGTATATTTTTTTGCTACAAGTCTTCTTTATTTATCTTCCCACTCCTTCCGATAAGTTTTCTCTTCTGGCCAAGTTCCGTCTGGATCGCGCCACGGCCCTGTTATGGCGTATAGAGAGGGCTGTGGCCTTGCGAAGGGCTCAGACGAACGTGGATGACCACCCTTAAGTCCAATGCTCTTGCCCCAAACTCGGTTATAGACGGAATGTCTATGATGGCCTCCATATCCCATGAGATCATACAGAACTATTAACGATAGGTTCCCCCCGATTTCGTGTCATATTGGGTCAAATGAAGCAAGACCATGGATTTTCATCAAGTGTGTAAGGCGCTCACGTTTGTTAGCCTGACTACTCTGCAAGTGGGATGTCGTTTTGCAGGTCCTCAAGCATTCATATCAGCACGACTTTAGCTCTGTTGTACTGCCGCTAAATGGTTTTCCATTTTTTTCCCATTACCGATAGCAGGAGTGAAGATAACTGACTATTGAGCCATCAATTCAATGATGAAGAGGGTAAGCGTTGGAGGTAGGATGCGCTGATTGTGTGATTGGCTTCTATTCTCGTGACGATTTGACGTGGTTACTCATATTGATTTCATACTAATATGTTTTTATGGATTAACCAGTCATTATAACGTAACTTATAAGACGTGCATGATAGAACTCATAGCTATATAATTGTGACTACAATTTAGTTCATATGATGCTGTGCTTTTTTATAAATTTACTCACAGATGCATCTATTGATTTATAAGTTTATGAACATAATATAAATTATAATGAATTGAAAAATATGAAACTTTGCCTCATTAGGTGTACATCACCTAAAAAGAAATGATGGTGACACTTTCATTAGGAGTGTGATCATATGTAGGCTAAAGTGATGGAATCAGAGGTGTTAATGATAGCTTGATTTATTTTGGTACAAAGCAAGCACTTATTTTTAATTCAGAAATATTACTATTAAAAGTAACCTTGTCACTTCAACAAAAACTAATGAAAAGAGATTTATATGTTAAAATTAAATGCAAGAAAAATTTAGTGGTGGTGATTTCATGATATTTAATGATACCACACTCAATTAGATCAACTTTTGAGACAAATATATAATAATACAAGATTTAGGAATTAATGAGTTTCTTTCTCGTGTGTCTATAACCACTCCTTGTCCCACGTCCAATTGGTCTACAATGACATGGAAGGAGAGTGACGCACATATGTCCCAATCAATTTATCCTTTGTTTCTTGAGACCTTGGTCACGATTTCACTCAATTATGCTTTTAACCTACTTGCGGGCTCAATTGGCTAGCATGTTCTCTCCTTTTATTACCTTTTTATTTTTTTTATTTTTTTATTTATCTCAAAAATAAGATTATAAAAATTATAGAAATTCACATAAAATCACATAATTGGCTAAAAAATCATATTAACTAATTTTTTTTACAATTTAATATAAATATAATTCTATTTATTATGAGTTAAAGTTAAAATTATATTATTTATTAATTATTAACTCATGATAATGAAAACTTACTAGAGGTAGGCTAAGTGCTTCATTTAAATTTCATATTGGATTTTGCACAATCTAGTTACTAAGAAAGCCTTGGACATTTATTTGGTAAAATTTATTTGGTAGAAAGATTTGGACAATCTAGTTCAAATAGCAATTTTTTTTAGTTTTTTTTTATTGGTACCTTAAGGAAGATAATATAAAATATCTAATGAGAGGGTTATAGAGTGAAGTGGGTTTTGGATCTTATCAAACTATTATAAACATTATTATGCCTCACTTGACATGTGTGCATTACAATTGACACTAAAATCTTACAAAGGTTCTCTATAAAAATCAACAAAAATAGCCCTCATATAGCATTTAAAAGAAGAGAAAAACAAAACAAAAGATGAGGAAGGAAAATACTTTAGTATAGTGAAGCCTTCTCATTAGTCATTAGCCTATTATCATAGAGTTCATGTGCTTCTAGTAGTTGCACAATATCATAAAGAAATAGGATGGTCATCAACTGCTGCCTTCTCATTAGAGTCTCTATGTGCAAGTTTCTTACATAGAGCATGCTTAGTCTCTTAGTATGGAAGAGGACCAATTGTAAATCTCATTGCATGTCATGAGTAATGAGTTCATTTGTTGTGTGTCAAGTGTCATATACTAGTGGTTCAAGAGGACAATTAATTTATCATAAAAATTGTTGGCTTTTAAAAACTATCTTGTTTTGATACTGAGAAAATCAATGAAAGGGTAAAATTTTCAAAGTTTTTTGGATGAATATGAACTTTTTAAAATGTTTGTACACCAACGACTCATTACTAAATTGATGCATAATCCTTCCTTTTATTTTTAGAAAAAATATTTTATTTAACTTGTATGAGTTAATTGATTAATAGTTTAAGGGCAACAATAGCTAGGAACTATGGTGAGAAATACCTGAGTGTGGTTGAGTATTTTTGAGAAGTCTAGTAACTTAATTATGAGAATTTAAAGTCATACAAAAACATTAAGGGCAACACTCCTTTATCCACACATATGCAGCATTTTCACAGTATCCTGATGTACAATTATTTATCTCATCTTATTTCAAAGACTCAAGCAATAGTAGTAGTATTTTATTTATTCACGAATGTGTGTAAAAGCTTTATAGTCATAGTAGATTTTAGGTAGAAGCAAGTGTTGTGTATTAAGGCCCGTCTATATCCACACATCTAGAGTTACTGTTGGGTGCAATTATGGTGACTCGAAGTTGTAAATATTAAGAGTCTAGGTTAGTATAACTAAAGGACATGGGCATTAAACTAGTGGAGAAGCAAAAGGTGTTCTGAAATAATCCAAGGGGGAGGTATTTTTCTATCCTAGATTAGAGCTGGCTTTCCTACAAAGAGGTAAATGCGAAATACAAAGACAGCATAAGGGATAATGATTCCATCAGCTAAAAGGTACAATGTTATTACCCAATGTGAATGTTTATGGATCATGTTATTGTAAAATATTGTGTGAGATGACATGTATATTGAGACATTGGCACTTGTTCGTAAATGCACCTTGGTTATTTAAATGATATTATATTTTTTCACGGAATAACAATATGGACACCTCCTAGAAACTCAAAATATCCACTGACCTTTCTCCATACTCAATCATGAATAGACTCAGAAAAGAGTGCTGTTGCTCAGATTTCCATAGAGGAAACATTGTGCCCATACAATTTTGTTGATGGCGAGAAAGGTTCTCCCTATTAATTTTCAGATAACCATGTTAAATTAGTTGTGACATAAGCTGTGGCCCCTAAAACCATAACAACCATTAGGGATCTTATTGTTTTTAATAGTTTTCCAAACATATGATACTTGAACAAGTTGCATCCTTGGACCATTACGAAGTGTGATGAAATAAATTTGGAAAAAGATACAATATTCTTAAAATAAATGAGACAAGCTCCTTAACAAATATCTAAGCTTCAAACTTATAGGTCATCAAACTGCTCATCAAATTTTTTGGGTCTTGAGGCTTGTCGGGTGGAGCTCCATGGTCATTTCGGAGTCTATGTTCACGCATAAGGTGGAATGGTTGCATGAAATCGATGTCAGGATCCTGCCAGACTTGGTAAGACCTGGTCGACCTGACCCATGTACATCATTACTCAGTATTTATTTTAAATATTTAAATAAAAAAGTAACAATTCATCCAAGCCCTTGCCGCAGGAAGTGTCTATGCGTAGGGTGATAATAGGATAGTTCAACCAGGAGAAGCCGTCAAATTCAGCCTATAGGTTAGGAGGAGAAATCAAAATATTTATTCTATTAGACTATTTTCCGCGAGTGATGATGCAAATGTATTTCATAGAGAGCAAACTCGGAAACCAAATTTTACTAGGGTAAGGCGCGCTACGCGCACACACCCTCACACGAGCACACCTCACGACCACGCATGCGTGCACACACCGACGAGCGGATAACTCTGGCGTCCCACAAGCGCACACATATTCCACACCAACGCGCACGTGCAAACACATGCAGCAAAACTGAAGTACCGAGAAGATGTAAGCAGAAAAGACGCTGGGATATCTAATAGCCGCCGTGGAATAACAAACTTGGTGCACTAAGTGAACCCGATTGCCACGTAGACAGAAGAATCCTAGCGTGTGGTACGGACTATGCTTCAAAGTCCCACGACGGCCCACCGGGCGAACGCATCTAGACTCGTGGCTGGCAGTATGCCTTCCAGCAAATCTCAAGGAAGTTTCTGGCTAGACCAATGGCGCGAGCTGATGGGATATCACGGAACCCAATCACATCTCTTCTTCTCTCACCTCGCCAACGGTACTTAAGCAGACGCATCTCACCTCTGACGCCAGAACTCATCCTCGCACCCGCTACACCACTCGCCTTCACCATCACAATGGCAGCCACCATGGCCCTCTCCTCACCTTCTCTCGCGGGGCAGGCGGTCAAGCTCGCCCCCGCCGCCTCCGAGGTCCTCGGAGAGGGGAGGATCTCCATGAGGAAGACCGCTGCCAAGCCCAAGCCCGTCTCCTCCGGCAGTCCCTGGTACGGCCCCGACCGCGTCAAGTACCTTGGCCCCTTCTCCGGCGAGGCCCCCTCCTACCTCACCGGCGAGTTCCCCGGCGACTACGGCTGGGACACCGCCGGCCTCTCCGCCGACCCCGAGACCTTCGCCAAGAACCGGGAGCTGGAGGTCATCCACTCCCGCTGGGCCATGCTCGGCGCCCTGGGCTGCGTCTTCCCGGAGCTGCTCGCCCGCAACGGCGTCAAGTTCGGCGAGGCCGTGTGGTTCAAGGCGGGGTCCCAGATCTTCAGCGAGGGCGGCCTGGATTATCTGGGCAACCCCAGCCTGGTGCACGCCCAGAGCATCCTGGC